CGTTCTTGGCGATGGTGTTGGTGGCCATCTATCCACAGGCGGAGGCTGACTCTCTTGCTCGTTCAGACAGACCTGCAAGTCAGCTGCGCGAACGAGGGAAGCGAGCGAGTAACCATCCGTTCGAACGCTCGCCCGCTCACCGGTCAGTTTTTCAGTCAGTCTGTACTACGGCTGTCCGTTACGCTGTAGATCCGCTCGATCGGCCGACGTAGCTCTCGGCGATCGATGTCGATTTCAAGTCACCGAACCTAATTCAAATATCGAATTGTGCGCTGGGAACAGATCGTTCGCCACTCAATCGCTAGTCTGGGGACTAGAATCCGCGGAAAGAGCAATGATGAAGACAACGACGACGGAGTCATAAACGGCAAATTATAGCATCGCGTCCGAAAACTCTTTAGTCCGTCTGAGCTGTTGAACCGCACAGTCGATGATTCGGGAAAGATAGAAATCCATCGGACATGCAAGTCCACGCGGGATACAAAGAGAAACGTGAACACATCGCTTCGCCAGAGGAGTCGGCAGCGTTTGAAAGGCTCGATCGGATCGACGATTCCAGTCACGGTGGAAATGGCAAAGAAATGAAATTAGATATATTATGAATAAAATAATAGAAAACTCCCTCGTCACGAGACTTGCGGCGATCTGAACCAGTTGTTTGACAGCCAATTGGCGAAGCCACTCGCCCGAGCTGCTCTCTGACTGCTCGACGCTCGGTCGACAGTGATTACTCGCTCGCTTGCTTGCTTTCTTTTCCAGGCCACGTGCGCGCCGGTGTATTTGGAGTTCCGCAATCGCTCCGAGCACAGAAGGGTGCCGAAGAACATATATGGCAAGGCTATTATAAAATCGAGAAAGGGGTGGGAATCAAAATTTTCGGCCGGCCAATAGCATCGGCTTGCCACAGAAAGTTGAACTACGCGTATCGCGTCGGCCGAGAAGTTTCTCGACGGAAATAGCTCCCGCCAGCGAGCCAGACAGTCAACAAGCGAGCAGCAGTTCGCGGAGGCATCGTCAGTGTTAGGGCAATTCCGCTGTAAGGCCACCGACCGACACCCGCACCACCGACAGCACCTTGGGCAGGCAGAGGGACACCAAGATCTCGCGGAAGTCTTTGTCCACTCGGAGATTCCGGCACCCAATCGAACGAATTTTCCTCTCCTAACACCAGAGCCGTCGATCACCTAAGCGTCCGTAGATCGATCCGAGGAAACCGAAATTAGACACCGAGTATTGTGTTTCCGCGAGCTGAGCGATCCAATCGTCAGATGATGCCGATGAAATCGATCGTATTCGAGTTGATAGTGTCAAAGCTGAGCCATACGATACGCTCGTTCTCAAAGAAGAGTACGAGAAATTCGAAATTCGAGGTCTGTCTCGAGATCGTCGTTTCCGCCGTCTCCTACGATTGTCAAAAGATGATGGAAGTCAAACAAACAAATATGTCGCACGGTGTGATCACCTGTCATCTCCAGGTCTGTCACAGGATACAAAATGTCTCCTGGGCGTTCGCTGAGCGACGGCGAAGGACGGAAGGGTATCCCTGATTTCGCGGCAGTTCGAATTCTCTTAGCACCACACAAAATCGATCTCGTTCTGAGAAAATAAGCCTTCCGTAAGGGCGTTGCCTCCGTCCGGCTCGAGAATGACAAGCGTTCAATCTCGATTCCTTTTGGAGCGGCAATATGCCTGCCCTGACCGACCATCGGCGGTACTGCCACCAACTCGCTTGTTGACGGCCTGCTCCGAAGGCTCCAGAGTTACTCCGGACCGCGGCACGCAAACGTCGAGCGAGGCCACGCTGGCTTCCGCTAAAATCGGACCGAGATAGATACGGGAATTTCCCCGATTCGAGAGCCCTGCCGTACGCGGAAAAAAAAAACAGCGAACGATCTCTTAAGCAGCATTGATCTCGATGATTTCCCCTCGGCGAGAAATCGAGGGTTGTTGACCTCTCTCTGTTTTGAGTGTTTTCCATGCTGGTCTGAAGCATCAATAAGAATGAGGTCTCTACGGCGATATGACGTAATTTTCCCTGACGGAGTACGTCTCGGCTCGCGGAGAACGGAGGAATTCCCGAGCGCCTACACCTCCTCGATGACGAGCTCGCCCAGCGGGAGACCGCGGCAGTTTCCACTCGAGTATTCTCTCAGCGGCCGTTCGAGAGCGTACGGATCGACTCGACCTAATTTGAAAGCGGGTTGGCGGACGACTTCGATGCGTTCTGTTTATGTTTTTCCGGTGCCTCGAAGACACCGAAGACGAGAGGGGGAGAAAAGCTCCGATACCCTCTGTTACCCACTGTGGCTAAGGACGAGAACAATATCCTGACCGTGGGTGGCAACAAAGGCTACGGCCCCGTCTGTTTTTCCTGCATTACGCAAAAGTGGGAACGATCGATTCTTCTTAAAACAAAGCTATCAAATCTAGTCTTCGGACGCGGTAGGCAGTTGACTTCTCGAAAAGTCTCGGGCTCGTCTGCGATAGCTTCGTTTATCGGTCCCAAAGCGACGATCGCCCCACGTCGACAACGCCGATGAGGAACGGAAACGGCTCTCGAGTGAGCCCCTCTTCGGAATCGCCCGTTGAACGATGCGCACAATCTGGATGCCGAGAGGTAGTCTCAGGTGGCTGTACTGCACGGATGGTGAAATTCCAGACGGCATCAGCTGACAGAGCCGAAGGTAGGCGAGCGATGAGATAGATATGCCGCTATCTCTTCTGGTGCTGCATATTTTACGAGCCATAACCTCGCCGCAACCCTCGTTGTTAGTGCCGCCGTGGTTGTTGTTGAGCTGGTTTCGATGGTCGTTGTTGTTAACAATATCAACGGCGACGTTCATCTTGGCAAGGCCGTCCGTGAATGAAATAGTGAAAGGAAAACTATCAAAGTCCATCCGGGACGTCTCGCCGAAAAAAAACGTCAAACCGCTCCGTACGCGTAGTCGGTCTGGTGAGCAGTCGTTTCGATCGATCAATATGTGGAGCGCTCCGATGAATCCGCGATGGAATGTACTGGCCGAGAGCGTAATTGAAAAACGAGAGGAAACAATGCGGGATGGTGAAGTCACGCAGACCCGCAGGCGGTTGCACGCGCCGTCGGAGAGACACTCGAAGAAACAAACAAAAAACAGTTGGGGACCCCTCCGCCCACGCATCGCCGCTCGGTCAGCCTATGGTTCGGTCGGCCGGTCGGTCCCATGGAGATGAATTAGTCGCTCATCGATGACTGACATCCAAGCACCGTTCCTCGTCAGCTCACTCCTGCGGCGTGCCAGCCACGTAGAATGGCGAACGTGACTCGAGCGTATACGCGTCGCACGCGACGACTCGTTCATTCGTTGAAACCGTATCAAAACAATTAGCAAACACTAAGGCCAGAAACATCGTCGATCCGGTCTGCGGTCGGCACTCACAATGTTGGAAGCCGGCCCAACGAGATTTTCGAAATCGACCGGAACCTCAAAGAACGTCGTGAACGACGCTGTTTCTTGGCGCAGCGACGTTATGATCGACACCGTCCGCCGCACGGTCGTCGCCAGTGAAGTTGCTCCAGGAGCGACGAAAGCCGGCGGAAGAGACCCAATGAACTATACGCTGGCGTTGCGATAGAGAACGATTGTCCACGTCCAGCTGACCGCGCAGTTACGAAGTAACGATCGACATTCGTCCGAGAAGACTGTTCGCGTTTTCTTCGACCGGAGAATAGGAGTCCAAACTCGAGCAGGAGCAAACCTCCATCCTTGGGCAGAAGAAGAAGCTCCCGTTGCCTTCGAGCGCGGACACGTTTGTCCATCACAACGATTTGGGTAGAATTCCACTTCGAAACGAGGACAGCCGATTAATTCGAAAGTAATTAGCTCGTTCCGATGTATCATACCCCGCTTCGTTTTTCTGTCAACCGCATTCAGAGCGATCACGTCGCGCTATTAGAAACCCCGACTCCCGATGAAACAAGCGAGTGAACACCTCCGAAGGGAACAACTGAGTCACAGAACTTGTTCCTCATTCCGCGAACGCAGGAGCAAGGTCAGACGGCGTTTCTGCACTGGAATTTCTGCACGCTTGGAAAAAGGGGTTTCTGTTACCTCCCTCAGACCTTGGAGGTCACAGTGACCGCGTTTTTCCGCTTTCCGAGGTCCATTCGTACGCCTCGCATCAAGCGCAAGAGCGCTGCGATGTCGCGCAGCGGAATCGCGTCCGGTCGGACTGGGTCGATACCCCGTGTCCCCACGACCCCGGACAAATTAGGCGACGAGAGTCTCTGGAAGAAGATCCAAGACCTCGGTTCTCGGAATGTATCTACGAGAATGTAAGACTGATGAGCTCCGGGAAGGAACGTGGAGGAGTTTCTGAGCCGTGAGCAGGAAGGTAGCGAGCGGGACCCGGCCAGAAGCGGGAGCGAGCCACCGAATGAGCCAAGACGACGTACGCCAGAAAATCGTTAGGAAAAGAGAGAAAAAGTACTTCCTACCAGTGCTCGGTGATATCACAATATCAAATCATCAGTTTCCTTTGAGGCGCGATCTCATCGATCTTGACACACTCTCGGATGACTCTTGACCAACGCTCCGTTCAACGGGGCCCAGAGTCGGACTGGAGGTCAGCTTCCCGTTCACCTTCCGCCTTAGTTTCTCGTCTAATTCCGCCGAAATTACCCCCACAATCGTCTCAGGGCTACAGGGCCCGCCGTTACTGAGTCTCACGCAAGCTCGAGTTTCCCCAGAGATTTCGAGAGGGGATCCCTCGCAGAGTTCGCAGTGATATTCCGACGGGATAAATAAGTGCATTCCGATCGCATTGCTGCCAAGTGAGAGTCAACGGTCGATGATGCCTTTGGTGGCCTTACAATTTGGCGGCGCCGCCGCTCGAAGTTACGGTGCTAATGGCATGCCCCGGCAGGCAGGCAGGCCGACCGCCCGCCCGCCAGTCGGTCGTCGGTCAGTTCATCTGCCGGTCAGTCGGTTAAACCCGAAGATTCACTCGGAAGTAAACAATACTCTCTTCTCTTTGAAGCGCTTTCAGCGGCTCGGGGCAGCGGAACTCCCGCGGCACGACGAACGAACGAACGATCGACTTTGTCTGTCTCTGTGAGATACAAGGTCACATGAGTTGCAAATCGATAAGCCGTATTCATGTGCAGATAGGAGGCTGCAGCGAAAAGAACACCCTCCGCCGAGGCTCAATATTGAGCTATGCTCGGGCTCTTTAAGGGTGGCTCGTTGACTCGCGGCCGGAATTGATTGTCAAACCGTCAGATGACGTCGACGACGACGTGTAATTCGTGAATATTTATATCCTGCACAGCGACTTCCTCATGCGAACGCAGTCTTTCTGACGAATGGATGTTTTGCTCCCCGAAGAACACGCCGCGCTTGAATGTGGGACGATCAGCAGCGGCCGCATAATCGTCTCCGTACTCCGTCCCCGAGAATTAATTTTCCCTCTCGGCGGCTGCGGCATGAAGGAATAGACTATAGAAGACACTGAGTAGAGTGACTCCGTTTCGACTATCCGCCCATCCACTATCCTCGCGCATGGAATATTTTTTTTTCGCAACTCCGTTGTTATCGTCCGCCACTCGCTACTCCTACTGGAACATCTTCGCCGAAGGCCCAAGGTCGGACCATTCCAACTCGGGTTCCCGGTTCCTTTCCGGTTCGTCACAATGATTCTCGTTTCCATCCCCTCGTCCGACTCTTCGGAAATTCCAGCAAAACAAGCCGCGGAAGCATTTGATTTGTCGACTGGCTCGCCGAGAGTCGCGCCGGCAGCGGCGGCAACAGTGAACGACGTGTTTCGCCGCTTGGAATAGAATCGGCTGTAGCCCACATCCGTCTGTCTCTAGGGCATGACAGAAAATGTCGTCTGCACTTTTGGAAGACGTTCGTCGGTGGTGCTGTCAACAAACACCGAGAACGGTCTACCTTGAACCTGCCGTAATCTCCGCATCGAATTCGAACAATCGAGAAAGTCCGGCGCTTCGAGCCGAGTTTGTTCCAAATCATGCAAGCGCGATTTGCCAGAAACTTCACACCCTCGCAACGGGAGCTCCGACCTTCCCCCATTACTCCCTTTTCCCCGCCTCTGGTTCGTGGAAGAACGCCATGATGGATGCGCTTCTGAGGGAATGAAGGATCTCCTCAAGGGTTTCCCTGGGAGGATCAACGTCCCGATTTAGTGCGCGACAAATCCCGATCGCTTGTCTTAATCACGGTAGTAATGCGCCTCGAGTCGTCGAAGGTGAACGACATTGGCTGTTTTTTTTAGGATATCCGTCTTCCCTCTTTTTTTTTCTCTCCTGAAAATTATCCCGCGATCAAGCGGAGTGACCTTGCGAACGAGTAGCGTTCAGAACGAGCGCAGCGTAAAAACATGCTAGTGATAGTATTCAAGTTCATCCCGAACAGCGCAACTTGAACTCCTACTACGAGCAGGGCTGCGGCCGCTCTAGGTACTTCTACTGTTCGTATCGCCATGAGAGAAATAGCTCCGCGGCCAGGGGGTCGAGACCGGGAGTTCGGGGTTTTTCCACAGGTTTTCAGCGAATCCGTAGCTTTTTTTCTCTTACGCTACTCCAGCTGTTGTTTGTAGCCGCTGCAGCAGCCAACGCCGCCGCCGCTGTCGAAACCGCGGCGGTACTTGAAGTATTTCTCAAACAAGTCTGTCTGCGACGGAGCCAGCGATGCCGCTGCTGCCGCCACGGCGGCTGCCGTTGACCGACAACGCCGGTTTGCGTGCGTGCGTGCGAGTGTCGCAATGAACGGAAGAATTGTTGATGACCGGTCGGTGCGGCGTTCGGGCTGTATGCCCGACGCTGCACCCCGAAAGCGAATTCGTAAACGAGCTTTGATTTGTTCATCGAAAATCGAATTTCAAGTCCATCTCTTCGACGCCGTCTCATCGCCACCCGAAAGAACGTTACCAGGACTCGGGGTAGCACTTGCTTTCCAGCATATGAGCTCATTCCGATACAAGCTCGTTCCAGCTGTCCGCTCGGCTCCGAATCTTCTGCCGATCCATCGGGAGGTACAGTGAGGGTTCCGTTTCGAGTTTATATAATAATTATAATAATAGTAACAATAATGGCAGCCACGAGCATCGCCCTACTGAAGCAACTAATCGCTTGAAATGAGCTGACTCGCTTCTTTCTCCGGCGCCTATCTTTCTCGATACTTTTCGATGACTTCGAATACAGCCCCCAGACCGTGATCATGAACACCGCTCCCGCAGCGGCAGCAAAACACACAGATTCTCATAGATGCCGACCATGGGCGCTGGGGCTCGGACGGACAAAGCGGATAATTTTACGTCAGCCTTGGGACAAAAATAAAAACTGACCAAATTCCGCAAGTTCGAAGGCTGGAGTCACTCGACTGTCGATTATTATTTGACTAAGCAGCTCTCTCTTAGGTCTGCTCAATCATGAATAAATCCATCGATCGGTCGTCGATCATCTAGAGCTTGAGCTATCACCTCCCTCGAGTTTTTCGAGCAGTGGAATACGATACTCCGTGTCGTGGCTCCTGGCCGAACTTGATCAATGTAATTGCATGATTCCGCTGATTTCATCGGTGGGGGCGATGAGATGGACTCTCTGGTTCGAGAGCCAGTCGTCCTGCTTCGTCCCGCACCCTATCCAATCAGATCGGATCAAGCTTGAAGTAGAGACAGGTACCGAGCGCATTGCTCTCTAGGTCTTTATACGTGGGGCTGGCTGCTGGGGAACGTTTGCGCGGACCGGGGGGTCGTCCCGAAGACGGCGACTCAGAATTCGCCTCCATAGTCAGCCAGCGCACCCAATCGTACTCGGTTCGCATCATCAACAGCGTAACAACCGAATCTTAACCTCGGTTCCCACAAAGAATTGGTCCCCATCGATTTTTGACTGCGCCGATCGAACAAAGGCAATCGTCGCCGTTCCACGTACTGGCTCGTTCAGTGAACAAAAATTCCAATTCTGAGGGCAGATTGCCGTTGAGCAGCGAGCAGCATTTCATTGACGGTGCCACGGTGGTGCCGCGCACGAGAAGAAGCCGTACCGATGACACAAATTTCTTGCGGGACGCTTCCGGCTGACATTGCAGGGAGATTATTGAACGTACTTCTCAAACCGCAGTATGGAAAAGGAAACGTCGTATTCGCAGCGGTCACCATTCATTCACACGTGGGCTCGCGTTTGCTCGCTTCCCGAGAATCGAAGAAGCCAATTGAAGCATGCGGAAAAGCATTCCGGGAGACCACTGGTTTCCGCCACCGATATTCGCGCCCGAGGTAGTGAGTACACGATGGTTATGATCTGTCACGGAACTCCTATAGCCTGCCTCGAACAATTAATCGAGAAGAGCACAGGGCGGAGGATGCGCAGATTTATTCGGACGGATAAAAGAGAACTCCGACGACGAAGTAGTTGTAGTAAGTGAGCGCAGAGATCTGAACATGGCTGGAATATTTTCCGTCGAACTACATGTTAATGCCCGTGGCGTCTTTTTCGAATCGCCACATGTTCCGACTAGTTTGCCTGGCAAGGTCAACGATAGACTTGATCTCGATCGACATGGAATGGCGAGGAGCCGCGCGATAAAATCCACCAACATGTCCCAATGGAAAAACTGCAACCTGTCCAAACGATGACAGCGAACAGACATTGTAGCATTTCGTAATGATGATTTGATTCTCCTGATTTTCTCTGCCCTCCGACGGCAACGTAACCGTCTCGATGCTCCTGCTACCTCTAATTCGAATGCTTTGACAGCTGGCTGGGATAACTCTGAACTTAGTTCCGCTAGGTCCTGCTCACGTTCGGAAGACCGTGCAATATCGGATACCAAGCTCTGCGCTCGCGGGAATAAGAGTACGTCACATATGGTTGCTCTATAAATCTAATGACGCGAACAATGGGACACATGTAGGTGAGAAAAAATTACGGGAGCCGCAATCGCTGATCGAAGTTCCAGGTGTTTTCCTCCATGAAACACTTACTCAGAATCATTATAATCTCAGTGAACAAGGTCCAAGAAGGTGATTCTTTTCCATTTCTCCCTCAGACTTGCAACCTCGTTGTACCATGCTTCAGTGTGCCGGGGGAGCGGAGGCGAGGAAGCGATCTCGACTTTCCAACGCTCCAAAAAGAAATATGCAAGGGCGAGGAGGTAACGTATCATTTGACTGATAGAGGAAGCTTGGCCAAACACGAGAACGACGTCTCGTCGTAAGTTTGCTGGTGTTACCGAATAACACGCACAGCTTTCTCTCGGTAACACGAATCAAGCTGCTGGATCAGCTGTATGCTGGGGAGCATTCGAGCATCGACGACCGAGAGTCTTATCGGTACATTCATGTAGAGAAGAGCTGCTGGTGCATCCAACAGAGCTGACCTTCTTCATAGGATCCATCGTATTTCGATGGAATGAAGGAGCTCAAAATGAATTTCCATGATTATCTACCATCATCGCCATCTACTCATGGCATAGAGGGACAGATGATTGAGTCCCGGAACTTCGTTTCCACCAAAGTTTCCGTCGAATAATTCCTCGTGGAACTGTCAGCCTCATCATAGCGCAGTGTACACCGAGGAGTAACTTATCTTCGATGAGATTCGATTGGGGAGTTCTCCGAAACGCTTCATGTGCTCATCGTCGATTCATTCAAAGAAAAATAGAGAGCAATAATCGTTGATTGGCTTCTCAAGAAGCAGCGATATGTGACCGACTTAGAGGAACCGAAAATCTTGAGGATCTGCTCAGTCTTCCTCTCTCCTTGGCTACGATTGACTGTTACTAGCGAACTGGTCGGCCGGCCGGCTGGCTGACTGGCTAAGTACCTGGTTGGTTGACTACGGTATCTCCTTGCTGAGAGATAGAAACACAACCACCATCACCGCCAACACCAGGTAGCACGGGGTCGCCGGCAGAAGCCAACTAGCAAGCTTTTTTTGGTCTCTCGGACACAGACTCTCACACGAAAGACACAAACCGTGGAATTTTGTCGAACGAAAGACCGATTTCAACTCACAAAGCTGGAGCTCTCTCTTTCTGTTCGGGCGACCCTTCATCGTTCTTGAATCTGATCGCCCGGACGGAACGGAGTTCGAACACAGACAACTGACTCGAGGGTTGCGATCGGGTCGCAGAAAAGGGTTGCGATCGGTCGGACCGTCTTAGAGAGAATGTAAAAAAAGGAAACTATGATGTTGACGTAGCCGTATAAAGTGCGTACGTGATTCGCCGGCATCGCCTAACACGAAACAACAACGACGACGCCATTCGCGGCAGAGCTTCAGTAATCCACCAAACTGCTTCGAATCTGTCAGAACGCGAATATGCTTGGACATCGTGCAATCGCAACGACGCAACATGTCACTAAGCTAGATTCCTTTCCTCCGAAACTCAGCGAGCGTTCAGGTCGCTTGGAAGCACTGTTCAAAATGCTCGACTGGCATCTGGAACATCAAGGGAGCCGTTCGCACATTCCGATGCAGCGAGCACCGGCGACGCCATATCTCCAAATGATTCAATTTCGACATGAACGAGCATGCCGATCTTGAACTACATCCAGACAATCGATTCCAACTGGTTGAAATTGTCGTACAAAGACAACAACGACGACAGATTCTACTGGTTGTAGGTCTGACTGAAAAACTGACTGACTGGCTGGCTGGCTAGCGTGAAGCTGCGTCAGGGACAGTCTAGAAGGACACTACGATGCTTCCTATAGCATCAAATGGACATCGGAGTAACCGACGTTCACGAGAACGAACTAAGAGATCGATAGAGCTTCGAGTAAGCTGTTTGGGCTCGCAAACACCGACAGAACGCCGGGAGGAAATCATCGCAACTGCTGCGACCGCTCGAGTCGAAGCAACACCTGCGGCTGCTCGATAACCACTTTGTTCGAGCTTGGGGTAGAGACACCAAAACGCCCGAATATACAAAGTGAGTCTTGTCCAGAATCTTGGAATGATCCTCGATTGCCGTCGAAGCGTCTCGAGGCTAGTTATATTAGTCGAATACTTCATAGAAGTTGGGAACATACGAACAACGCAAGGTCCGTAGATCAACAGCTGTTCGGTCCTAAACTAACGGCATGGATTTGAACTTACTTTGAACTTGACGAACTCCTCTACAGCCTGAAGAGCTGAGTCTGTGAGTTTCACAAAAACCAAAGTTTTATCTGAAGATTTTGTGCCCTCTGATGATAATCCATAGCGACAACCTTCCACCAGGGCCGCCATCTTTGCCCGTCTCCACTTTATCCACTGGCAAAGAAGACTACAGTTCTGCTACCGTCGCACGTTCGTCGGATGACGAGCAGCGAGTCACTGTAATGTACTTGAGTTCACTCGAAATCGTCACAGATTTCTCAACACTAGTCTCGCACTGAGCTCGGATACTTTCTCTGAGTATTTCCGGACTCTTCTCAACCGATTTTCACATGGAAATGATTCTGTTCGGTGCAAGCATGCGATGATAACTCTCGTTCGAAGCATACCGGTGGCGCCATCTACACAACGTCGGTCGACCTATCAGCTCTCGCGAACTTCGTAGGGCGAAGAAAACCCCCCTCTCCACAGAACTTCCGAGAACAGGTAGGAGTGCGCTCGGGGTACCTGATTTCGGAATGGGGGTTAAGCACCGCGCGCTGTGCTCGATTACGAACAATTTCTCTCGGCCGAGGAATTTATTGCACCGTTGCTGTCTGGACTTATTCTGACGGGTGCGATCTTAATTGGTGCTCTCTGTGGGGGGCGATGAGATGATGCCGGGGTTCGTGAGCTGAGCTCGGTCCGCGGATAGCTAATCAAAGTTCAATATCGGGACCGGTATTGAACTCAACCGCAAACAGAGTATTAGGAAAATGTAGCGGTAAGTCGTTGCCGCTCCCGAAGAACTTCTGCGAAGGGATCGTCCGCGGTCATCGATTGACAGTAAAATGTCCACATACTCGGAGCTGCATGAAACTGCGAACTCGATTTCGTCGTGATTTTCCGTGTGATCTCGACGGATAGAGGGTCAGATCGCATGAAGATATTGCCCCGATTGATCTGGGATCATACTTCTGTGGGAATACATCACTTCGAATACAAATGACTTTGCTGATATCGACTCATTTGTAGATTTCCTAAATTTCGGACATTTCATATCTATCCAATCCGCAAGAGCGAAGACCAACGATCACATCGACGAGGGATTCGCCTCTTATGAATTTTCCCTGCCGCCGGGCGATGTGGGAAATGCTAAAATGAGAATGCCTTAATCGGATCTATGCTTATTCGAGAGTCGGAAAATGAAAATGTCCGAAATTTAGAAACTCCACTCATTTGGGATGAAGCGCATCGGGCGGCTCTTTTCAGCCTTCGCTTCCGGAAATCAGCTCGCGAGCGCTGATTTTGGACTCCGAAGCCGGACAGTAGAAGAGTCATCGATATCTGATCTTGCACGAGCGCCTCACCGATCGATACGGCGGCAGTAACCTCGCTATCCTTTTTCTGAGCTCTTACTTTCCGACGATTCCTCACGACCGTGGTTCGATTCCAAAATCTTTAGCGAAGACCGACTCGAATTCGACGCAGCTCCAAGGTTCCATGGAATCGTGTCTAAGGTTCTAGTTCTGCCGTAGCAGGAGAAAATAGAAGCTTGTCCAGCGGAGTGGGTACGATATATATAACGGGAATCAGAGTCTCCCTTCTCCTTCGAAACCTTCGTACTTCCGAAGCCCGTCATCGTTCCCCAAAGAGGTCATGCGTTTCCTCAGCGTACATCAATCATTTCCGGGAAGGCCGAGGCTGAGAGCCATCAACTCAATCGTCCATCTCGGTCGAATCAGCCACGTTGTCTCGCCCTCAGAAACGCCATCGTTTTCTGAAAAGATAATTCAGCTTCGAAAGAGTACAGCCGACTCTATGAATCACCGTCGGGCATCCGTGAACTCAGTTCTCGCTGGTTTCAGCCAGGATGCCGATGCTCGCCGGGGCTTGGAGAGGTTTGAGAACGCCGCTTCATGGAACCCCGATGTTCTGATAGTCGTCAACAGAGAGATTCGAATAGAGGCCTCTCTGTCCTGTACAACCCTGCGCACTGCCGACGCTCTGCACGGAGCAGCAACAAGTGTCAGAGGAGTGATGATCTCGCTCAGCATGTGGCTAGCGGCTGAGGGGTCGCTCAGCGGACTGAGACTCAGCCTCACAGAACGTTGGTCGTTTCGTATCCAACTTCCCGACTGTTCATCATTCCAAGATGCAGGATGCAGCTATCGCATTGGTGAAGCCAGAAAATAATCCCTCTTCCGAGAGACTCGCATGGCGCCAAGCGTCGGGGATAATGAAGAAGTTTTTTTTCTCGAAATGAGAGCAGTCCTACGATTCAGCAGTCTTGAGAGGTGGGACTCTTGTCCTTGACGCAAGCTGGTCGGTGTGTGGCTTGACCGATCCGAGAAGGAACGGACGGGGGAACTGGGCACTTCATGTAGACCAGATGGAAGAGGTTACGAAGCTCGCGGTAATCTCCGGATTCTGTCTTGGGCTGCCAGATACGCTGAGCATGAGGTGTCGGGATTCTCCCGTCTCTGGCAAGACAGAAATTCATATCATGAAGCCGATATCGCAGCTGGGTCTACGGGACACCCACTGTATCGTATTCGGGATACCACGTCCTGTGGATTCTGTTCTTCTTCAGAACATCGGGCGGGGTAGAGGCTCCACGTGTTCTCGGGGCTCAGACTCCATCGGATAGGGCAAGTGCCCACCCAGAGATCTCCTCCCCGGGAATCAGTCCCTGACAGTCCTCAGATATTATTCTAATCGGGAGTCATCAATTCGATTCCCCGACAAACGAATAGTCCAATCTGATCTCTAGAGAGCTGGGATCTCGTGCCGGAATTGCGGTTTCGCTCCACTGGTAGCACTCGGAAAACGCTCGAACCTGTTACCTAGAATTCAATAGAGGGGGGAGATGCTTTGTGGAAATTTTTGCACCTTAGTTCGACCTCCGGCTAGCGACGCCACCGGGATCCTGATTCACGTCGTCTCTCGAATCGCCCTCGCTTTTCAGAGCCCGTCCTCGTTCATTCGTTCAGTAATCCTACTCAGTCACTCAGTACGGGACGGAATATCCCTATCGGAGTGAGGAATGAATTTTGTTTTCTCATCGAATCTAACAACCTCCGTTCATCGGAGACGGATAAGAGACCGGTATACGGTGACCGAATTCAGCTGTGGATGGGGTATGCCAACGAATTTCAACCGCAGACATGAACGCATTTTTATAATGTTCATCTATTGACCTGTTGATTCGTCGATCTATTGAGATCAGCACACAGATATCCCTCATTTAGTACCCGAGAAATTGAATGTCTTCATATCCGGTGTTCACGATGGGTTCGACGGTCCGAAAGAGGGTCGTCTCCTGTATTCGTAGCATCTAACGGTGCGATTGGTTGCACAGTGAGTCTATTGTCGAGGCCGGGCGCCGGTCCTCGGGAAGGCACCGCTGTCGATTTTTCGAACAAGAAGTTCTGTTACGTGTGAATCGGTATCGAGGGACTCGAGTGGCTCATCGATCGACGGCCTCACATTCCCTTCGTGATCTTTCCTGCGGGGAATCCATGAGGGAAGGAGTACCTAAAAAAAACTTTTTCGGGCTGATATACACAGCCAAGGTTTAACGTCCCGGGTACTGTTATTCACATTGCTTCCGAGGACGGATCCATAGAGCAAATGTACCCAGGAGGATCAAGGCCGGGTAGGGCCTCCTACCCAGGTGGGGAAGGAGTACCTATCACATCTCTTCCGGCGGCTGTGGTCGAATATCCTCACGGGTACCCGAGGGAAGTCTCGCGGGTCCTTCTCCGCGCACGTTGTGAGGAAACTGGTTCAATTCGTCTCTTTCGCAATGCTGCGTAGTCCGACTTCAATCATTTTGATTGGGCCCCTGCTTGTAATTATTGGAGACAGGGATAGCCAACAAATACTGCCATGAAGGCCAATCTTTCCAAGCAATTTTTATGGCAATGAAGTACACGTTTCGCTTCAGTCAGGAACCGGAGAACCTTTACGACAAGAATATCGAATCCTCCGGCTAAGCTGCCACCCTTTGTTTCGGGACTGCGGTTGTCGATCGAGACAGGCGCTCACGGAATGGGTCCAATTGGCACCTTTCTTGTGGGGTACCATTTTGCGTCCGGCGTGCCGCTTAATGCGCCTCGGAAGAAATCCTACGTGCGCATCGGAGTCTCGATCCTTCCATCGAGTTTCCTTCTAGTCTATGCTCGTTTTTTTTCATGCTTTTTCGCGGATCCTCTTCTCGACGCTGAGCCTCTCCGAGGGCTATTCCTCTCTCGTGGAATCAGGAGTTGATTGAGAACTGGATTTTGGTCGAGTTCGCGTACTGTGAAGTCGAAAAGCGGCGGCAAATCACCGCCATCGGGGAGCCTCAGACCCGGCTTCCTAAGCTCATCCAGATACGGCTCAGCCATCGCGTCCCAGCATCGAATGCGCTTGTCGGGAGCGTATTGAAGTAACTTGATCAGCAGAGATAGCGATTGGCAGTTCGTTCTCCGCAGATGTTTATGCAGGCTTATGGGACTCCGCTTTTTCAAGTCCTTCGGGAACATCGGATGGAGTTTCTCCATCTGCTCAGGAGTTGGCGTCCCAAGTATCCGGATTATTTCGGTGAATTGTTCCAGACTAGACTCGCCGAGGAATATCGGTCTCAAGAGGAACATTTCCGCGAAAACGCATCCAACGGCCCAGGTGTCAATCGAACAGTCGTACTTGACATTCCCCAAGATGAGTTCCGGTGCACGATAGAAGCGGGAACAGATGTAGGCAATGTTGATCTCGCCTTCCTTGAGCTGTTTCGCCGAGCCGAAATCACAGAGCTTCAGACGACCTCTTGCCGGGTCAATCAAGATATTCTGGGGCTTTATATCTCTGGGAACGAGATGAAAATCACTGAATTCCACACGAGCTCGGAGGTAAATGAAGAAGCAGAGATTACCTAGGGAAATTCATACCGATGAGCAATCTCCTCCGAATGCATGTAAGCGACACCTCGCAGTAGCTGGTACAAATACAGGCGGATATAGAACTCTGGGATGTCTTCTCTCTTACGCCGATTCTGTACGATAACAGCCGATAGACTGGTCGGGAACAAGTCCATGATGAGCCTCACGGATAATTCCATGTACGGATCCCTATCCAGATAATAGTAATGTAGTCGGACACAGTTTGGGTGGTCCAAGATTCGCATGATCGAAACCTCTCGATTCTTGTATCTGGGGTCGAAGTCCACCTGTTTCATTGCGTAGTGTTCACCGTCAGGAGTACAGATTTTCTGCACCGTTCCGAAAGTGCCTTTGCCAATGGGGCCCATGACGCGATACGTGAATGGGAGCTCCTGCATCTTCCTGGCTTTTTTCACAGTCACGATAGTCCAGTGATGCCCATCGCGGACTTCGGACCGTGGCTCCACGGGCGTGCAATTGAAGTCGCTCATGTATTTTTTCCCTTTTTGCTGCTAGAAGATCGCGGAAGAATTTTGGAAACCCAGACGAGTGAGATATGATTATTTTCTGTTGACGAATGCTTCATTTTCCACGAAATGTAGTACATCTTCGAAGGATTGTGAATCGCTTGTTGGAAGCGACGATGTGCGTGATGTTCGATGTTCGTCGCGGGGATGGAGCTTATTAGCTGGAAGGTCTGAATTCCGAAATTCCATCACCGCGTTTGCATGTTCAGCTCGCGAGGGGCGATTTTCTAACTACCCCCTGAGTGAATGCGCCGATTCTCTACGAGAGTTCTAGAGATATCGGTATTCAGCTCCGCGACCCGGGTTCGTCTCACTAGAATGACGAATGCTTCCGGTAGAGACAGAGAGTGCGGGTCTCGCGCTCACATAACACCGCCCAGAATCTCGAAGGAGCACCGGCTCCGCAGAGAGTCGGTCATCGAGTAAACGGTTCACGTTCGTATCCGGAATCGACGATATGCGAAGCGCAAGAAGAACGAGAGAATTCCATCAGATAAAATTTACAACTTCAGTCTTCGCTTTTATTGAATAAATGTTCTGTCATTACTGTCTCCCGACACCTCTTCCATCTGTTCGTGATCCTTTCCGGCTCCTGGATTTCGTGTCGCTAAGAATGTTGATTCATTCGACAATCGAGACGTAATCTACGAATACCTGCTTTCCTGTACACTCCTGCACGGTCTAACTAACACCTCATCCAAGGAACAGCACGTCACATCGATTCAATGATTAGGCCTAGTGTCTTCCTTTGTTCCTTCGTCACCACCCACATTATAAACGAGGACGAAATGGGAGAAACTGACAATCTGTTCGACTCAAAGCCTAAGGTTAAGAAGAAGAAAAAAATAAAACTATATTATTCACTCTTGACTCAAATCCTTTTGCGCACACACGCTCGTCATTGCCGTGCAGACGCGCTCGAGGAACAACCTCCATCTTCACATTCATCCATGCACCCATCAATCATTCACTCGTCAATCAATCATTTCCAATCACGCTTCGACAATGAGCTAATTCTTAGAATGTACAGAGGCGGACGAGCGAGCTTACGTTCGGATGAACGAGCCTGGGTCATCCGCCTCAGATACTCTCGGACAAGCGTTCGACATCGTCTTAAAGCCACTGTTTCTTCTCGAAACGAGTATCGATGATGTCGAACGATTGTCGGTGCGGAGAAAATATTTATTTGATGTAAAATTGGTGTTTTCTGCGGCTGCGGCACGTCAGAGTCGTCTGTTGACGGTATGCGCGTTATTCATGAACCCGACTTGGATGTTTTCCCGAAGTTAGAAATCGAGGAATCCTTAGGGAATAAGTACACAGAGCACGTCCCTCGAGAGAGAAATATTGGCTTCGCTCCAGCGAGAGACTATACAGAATTCCTCGTCCACGGCAGTTGCGGAGACGAGCAAGTTTGACGAGGAGATACAATGCGGTCGTTGGGTTCGGATAAACGTAAAATTGAGGACTATTCGGCTACTAACAATCGAACATAATCTCTCACCAAAATCAATTATCTAGAACACGCTACGATTTTTTGCTAGAGATGTCCTCGCTTCTGACGCGTCCTCCGGAACGTAATTCATAAGGAGGAGGGACGAAGAAGGCTAATTCCTCACCGAGACCAAGGAAGGGAGTTGCGGGTTATCGCATCCTCCGCAATGTCCAGGATGTACGTAATGATCGCAGACAACTTACGGAAAAAGATCTGCGAACAAGCTTCGCGTAGCAGTCCTTTCCGGTGAAAATTTGTCTCAACATCCGTACAATGGTCAAAAATTTGGTATTATTCCGAGAGGGCTTCATCGCTCCTCATTCGGTGTTCTGACCTCTTCCGCTTCCTACGGAACGCATATATTTGGCATTAATTAGATCAACGGCTTATTTAAGTCATTCGTCCCTCTCGCACCCGATTGACAGTTGGCTCGCGCTTGGAAATAAAGAACACTGTCCGCTCTCGTCCGGGTTCGCCTCTTCCATTCCAGGGCTGCTCCCTGCTAGAAATCTCGAGAGTTCCGACCAGGGCGCGAGTCCATGACCGAAGAGTTGCAGATTAAGACCTTAGAGGCCTTTCCTGATAGGGAGCGGACATAGTTCGAAGTCGTTCGAAGACCCTTAGGTGGATCGAATCCGAGACGACCAGTGATAAGTTGCCCTCTCTGTTTCATATATTACATAAGAGATCTGTCGACTGCAAGGATCTCGATTGTAGTCCGGAATCGATGTCCGTCTTTGTTGACGAGTACAAAGCTCCTGGATTTCTTCGGGTCTCTCTGCACCTTTCACTCAGGTATTAATCACCACTATGAGCCCATTCAAATCTAATCGAGGAATGCCATCTAACGGAACTAACCGTCGACAGCCAGTCCACCTTACATCCGTAGAAAATTTCGTCCGGCGATATTTCTGGACACACACACTCAGAATATTTCGTCTCCTCCATCTCCTCGAAGACTATCCATAACACAGCGCGCTCCTTGCTTGAGCGAACATCGCGTAAGGCAGTGAGGATAAATACATTTTGCCTTGTAACGACAGCTAGTCGGCATCAACAACTGAAAAAATAAAGACGTGCTATTAGAATCCATCGTGAGCCAAGTACTCACGTCGGTGCCTGTGTCAAGATCAGAGAAGTCCCCGCGATTCAGAGGAGGAATTATCTGATTTCGAGACTTCGCGAGATTTGATTCTAGGCTGCCTGAGGTAAGAATCGGAGACAGCTATGATCGAGATCGGGCTCGCTAGAAGAAAGAGGGACGGGGGGTGGGGGGAGGAGGAGTTCGTCGAGAGACACAGTCGTGGAACTAAATCTTAAGCTTGAAGGTGAGGTCCAAGTGCATGAAATCTCCTCTACACCAGACTTACCGTCCCAGCTCTGTGCAGCGTGCAGAGAAACAGTCACACCGGTTAATTGAAGTTCCGAATCACCCACCTCAAGTCTCTCATACTTTTCTTTCTACTTCAATAAGCTCTCTAAGAACATCTGATTCCGGAAGGAGCGCAACATCAGTGTGTGTTCTCACTCTCTACCAGAGTCATCAGTCTCGGACTCAGACGAAGCGAAGCAAGCTATCGTACACCGATCAGGTGATTAAACTCGGTAATCTCAGTGCTTCATCATTGCGAAAGCGAAGATTGGCACTTACGATGTTATCCGCGTCTTGGGCAAAGGATGTTTCGTATTGCGTGTCGATTGGAAGAGCCTCGAGGTTGTGGTCTCTATTCGATGACAGGGAACACCGAGATTGCATAGCGTCCCGCCACACTCTTCGTGTCCGCCACCAAGACAACAGACACAAGAACGGAATAAGGACGACACCCACTGATATCGGGAGAAGGATTACTTTGAGGTCAACTGTGGGTTTAGAGAACAGAAGACGATATTTAGTTTTTCTTCCAAACTGATCATGCAACTCGGTAGGAGAGCGAGCAGCACGAGACAAGTGATTCGCTCTAGTCAATACGAACGGCTCGGGATGCCGATGGTGGAGATTGTCGACTCCCATCCGGATACTCACTTCCTTCGTCTCGCCGTAGTTCAGGTAGATCGGGCCCATCGTAGTGATACGATGCGAGATATTGGCATCGCAGGCCGGTGTAGTTTGCAGGACATTTGCACTGCGGTCCTGCGCCCACGATGAACGGAGCGTCGCTCGGCGGCAGCTCGCAGGTGCCACCGTTCAGACAGAAGTTCTGACACGAAACAACAAGATCGAACACGCTCAAGCGTTCCTTGTTGCCCTCTAGAGCCGCACTGTTATTGTAACCTTGCAGAACGCTTTTATCATAGAGTTGGAGGTGTGAAACATTGGGACCGAGATATCGACTCCAGGTCGAGGGTGCTGGCCCCCCACCCCTCTGGAGGAACATGAGAGCTCCTCCAGAGTACGTGCTGTCTATCCAAAACACTACGGAATGATAAACAGCGACGGCCATGGGCGAGAGATGCCAGAGCGCCGACCTCTGCACGATGATCGCGCGACGTCGGCCTTCGAGATCCGAGCGTCCGATCATTCCGGTCCCGCTGTCACACCAATAGAGATGATCGCCTTCGATCGTTATGCCGTTCAGTCTGATGAGATCCTCAGTGACGATGGTTCGGCGTGTGTTTTTTGGATCTTTGAGGCTGACCCTCTCGATCTTCGGAGAATATCCACCGGCGTCGCTCCAGAACAGCAGCTTCTTGACCGGGTGGACCGCGAGTCCCATCACGCGGTAGGTCCCGTTGACGACTACTTGCAAATCGGTGCCGTCGAGCTTCGTCGAGAACACCGCGCAGCAAGTGGAGAAGTACAAACGACCAGCGAGAAGGTCCGAGGCTATGGCGCTCACTTTTCCGACGACGGGTGGCTGAAGTCGTAGGATGTGTTTCAAGCTCAAGCCGTCAAGCCGGGACTCGAAGAGATCGGGACCGATCGTCACGAACACGTGACCGTTGTTGGTCACGTGGAGGGCGTCTGGAAGAAAAGCGTGGGGAACGTGAGCTCACATGCCACCTATCGATCGAATAGGTGGGTTGTAACCCCGGGCCCCTCTTCGGGACCCGTCACGGAATACTCACCGACATTTCGGTCGCTCAGTTCTGAGTGAATCACCATCGGAGCCAGAGATAGGTTCTGCGTCAGCGGGAATCCAGCTACCTTGTGCGACAGTAAAAAGTATAAGAGAGTATCCGAGCCCCCGGACGGAGCACAGCGTCCTCCGAGGCAGACCCCTCGTGGGCACGCACAATCGTCCGGGCGGGACCGGTGGGATCCGTGGGCTTCTTTGGAGAAATAGTCCATCGCGACGACCTGGTCGGTCACGTTACGTGGCTCGGACTCGCCAGCGAGATGGATGAGGAATTTGCGCGCGTAAGAAATTGATTTGCGATCGCTGGTGACCGCGAATTCGATACTGTCCTTGGGATCGCCGACTGTCGAGCGTTCCTTGAGATGAGAGGTGTCGTTTGTCACGTACGGAACGTTTTGCGTCACACAGAAAATCGTTGAGTTCACCGCTTCCGTGAAGCACACTTCGTTCTCCATGACTTTCATACCTGCGGATACGGAATGAAGGAATTTATAACTGTGACCCATGGAATCATACCCGGCACGCGAGGGATCGGCATAAGATGAGGAGTTCGGAATCATAGCATGAGGGGTCCCAGCACTTACGGACAGGCTGGTTGTTCCTGATGATGTTGCCTGCGTGCAATGTTATCTCATTGGAACCGTTGAGCACGGACTGTTTCACCGAGATCCGGTCGTACTCATATGCGTATCGATCGCGTTCCACCCAGAATAGTTTGTCACGGTCGACGGCCAGGGCAACGACTTCACCGTTCCGATTGCCGACGACGCATGCACACATTTTATTCAGAATGTTACAGGCGACCACTTCCTGTCGGTGCTGACCGTTGACCAGCACTTGGAAAGCGATGTAGATAGTATGACGATCTATGGTCAGAGCTTTTATTCGGTATCTGGTACCGAAATTCAGGAACTTCTCCGTCGATTGGTTTTTGTAGTAGTGAACCATGACGAGGTGCGTCTCGAACCAATAGAGGCGATCGTGGGTGGCGTCGAAAACCACTTGGGTAGAGGAAACGTTGAGACGCAGCGGCGGAAAAACGAATTTCTGCATTTTATTGTCGCTGATATAAACGCGCAGAGCCTGTGACTTGACTTCGGTGGCGTAAAGGAACGTGTCTTTGTGTGGAATGCACGAGCGTGCATTGGAAGGATCGTGGATCGTGCCATATGGACAAAGGCACGACGTCGAGCAAAGATGACTGCAATCGCCGTTGTTCTTACGACACGGACCCTTTACCACATCTGCGGAGACAAACAGAGACAGCGTTAATCAGCTTCATCTCTCGGGCTGTTCGTAATCAATGGAACACGACACGGCTGGCGGACGGCGGAGCATCGTATGGAGCACCAGTCTCATACTACTTCCGATTCCTTTGAAATCGTGGCGGGTCCAAGTTTCGGGACCCCGGAATGACTCACTGAGCAAGAAATGAAATTCCACACTCACCGTTGGGTTTCTTACTCCGATGCACGACCGTAGCGTGGAAAATGCGATCCGTCCTCGACGAGAAAATTTCCTTCGATCCGCGGAACGCTTTGTGGGTGCTGAAGTCGGTCCAGATGATGACCTGTTCGTCCGGGGGTTTGTGCAGAATGTCTATGGAAAACGGCCGCACCGCGTTTTCCCTTATGGAAAGGACCATCGAATGATCCGTACCTTCGTACGACGCGGAATGGATCTGTGGAAGCGAAGGACCATATGATTTCAAAGCTTAGTCGTTTTCAAATGATTGGAATTCCCCCATTCGTAATATCTCCACGTTATCCAGGAACTCACGGCTTTAGACAACGCATCGATCCAGAAGACGCGTTTGGTGGCGAGGTCTAGCGTCAGACCGTTGGGAAGGCCACCGTTGTAATCGGTAACGTTGACGATGATCTTCCGCTTCTTCCCAGCGAGTGAACTCCGCTCGATGCAAGGCTGACGGTCGTTCCAGTCGGACCAGAACAGCACATCGGATCGGGGATCGAGCGCGAGACCGCGAGGTTTGCCGAGCGGTCCCAGAAGTGAGCTCCTCATGGAGCCATCGAGTCGCGCAACTTCAATATGTCGCTTCTTTGATTCAACCCAATAGAGGTTGTCGTTGATCCAGTCGATGCGCAAGCCCTCCACCGACTCGAGATAGCTATGTACAAGAACTGTGGCGTCGACTATCACCGATTGGCCACCTTCTTCGACTAGTTTTCCTCTCTGAATGCTTCGTAACGAGCTCCAATATACCCAGAGACCGTCATCTTTATACACCGTATCGACAGTGATGACCGCGCCCGTTGTCGAATTAAATATCTTGACCACCTCTTCGTTGTGCTTTCCGGGATAGCGGACCGGATCTCCATCGGTAGGAAGTCGGACGAGGCCCGACGAGACACCAGCGATCAGGAACGCTGAAAAATAAACTCCTCTTGAGTATTCCCGTTCCCCGTTCAGAAATATGGTGCGACTGCCGGCGAGCTCCATACACTCAAAAACTGCGTCGGCATGGACTCTACCCAGAGCTTGGCTTCCGTCGCGGCTTTTCAGCCGGAAATTCGCGGAATTTTCAGGCTCCAACAGACTTTCTGTGGGGGAACGTTCCGCAACGCGACAAAAAATCGCGGTCCCGATTCGCGACGAAAGTCGAGCCCTAAGTCTACCTCCATGCTAGAAGGAAACACAATGATCCGGTTCTATGCCTTGGGTGAACGCCTTCATTCGCTTCTCACTCAGAGGAGGGGCTCGTCGCGAGACCGTTTTCCGTAAAATGGTCAGCCTGCGTATTATATCAGGTCCGTGTAGCATATGCAATACAGTCATATTGACAAGAGCATAGTTGTAGCAACATATATGACGCGAGCATCATGAATGAATCCACAGAGAGGATGTCTAGTCTGCGGGAGTTTTCAGACGAAGCTCTCGGTGCATCCAGAAAGATCTGGAGAGAAAGATCTCCGAATAATTGGCACCATGATGCGCATATCGAGTCGTGGACACATCCACAGATCATTCGCCTCTGAAGATGACGATTGTGGCTTCGAGAGATTCTTCGCAACTTTCTCCCGTTGTGTGGACCCGACGGCGTCAAACATCGGATCCATCATCAAAAGCATAACAGCCGACCGCTCACACATTGACCCTTCCCGTTGACAACAGCCGTCGTAACGGAATCAGGAACAGCGCAAGCAAAGCGCAGCCAGATCATGCTCTTGATAAGAATCGCGATCGCTGGCGCCGTCGTTATCGAGCGCGCGATCGTGGGCTCACGAGAGATCGAGGAGCTTCGGCCTCACAGAGATCAATCGATGGAGCGAACAGGTCGATCTTCATCTGATCAATCCGATTCTCGGTGTTTTCGCTGGAAATGCGCTTCCCGATCCCAAGGTCTGTTCTGGGTCAATGTCGAGGAGGATTGAGCTGCTACGGGGCCTATTGAAGCGAAGAGTCTGATCGTCGACCTCACGGAGGGAGAGTGTGTTGTCAGCGCACAGAGACGCTCGAGAAACGCATCGGAATGGGTTCCCTTACCCTATGATTTTGATTTCTCCGATTCTGAACGCATTGAAACCTTCGGATCCTGAATCCCGAACTTATCTCCTCCGCTCGTGCGACCGTCATGGTCGTATGCCGGAGGAGAGAGATTCGCTTCTATTGTAGCCCGATGCAGTGGAGATTCCAGGGTGCCGGCCCGAAAGTCCGGATTGCTCTGCTGACATCTCTCCTCGAGATTGTTCACGAATATTCGGCGAACCAATCACACAGATCATTCGATCTATCGCGGAACAGAGCCCTAATCGGGAGACCTTAACAGCTGAGCGGATGACAGACTGCCTAACGTACGATGAGGCAGACAGACGTCAAGTTTTCGACACCCGACACCTGCGAGACATTTGTCTCTCAATGCGCGCGGAGCCCTTGAGCGGCTGCAGGTCGCGTGTTTCGAATACGCTCGAGAGCACGTAGCCAACTCCATGGCGTAGCTGACGTCTCCCCTCTTGCGGTGACTTTTTTTATCCTTCTTCATCATTTGCGGTCGTCGGCCACAGTGGTTGACAATGAATGTGACCCTAATACTCGGAGTGAGCGTGGAGAGTGAATACGTTCCGTTTTGAAATGGAACTTTCCCGAAAAACGTCGCTTCCGCAGAGGTACATTCCTCGCTCGCTTCGCTTTTCGGTCCCGCAAGACGTCCAGCACTTGGTGTTGGCCTGTGTCATGAAGTCTTGGAGCGATTCCGAGCCTACATCCGGGGCCGGACAATCAATCCGGCCTTTTAAAGTTGAAACTATCAGTCGACAAGATCTCTGACCCCCATCTTCCGTTCTCCTTTCTCGGAGTTTCAGGGAGATTGCGATCCCCAATGATGGCCCCGAAGCTTCGATAGAGCAGACTAGTTTTGGCTAAACCGCTCGAGAGGGCGAACCTCAGGCGCCCCGGTATCGTCATCGATTCTTTTCCCGGATTTCAAGTCAGGACCCGCTTCATGCAACAGCCTCTCTCCTCGACACAGTTCTCCGGGAGTCTTTCCATGAGAACATTCCTGTTTCTTATTTTAGACGGGCGACACTGCGTCGAAAACACTGAACGAGGTATGTCTCTCCCGGACGATCACTATTGATGGCTTAAAAACGTACGTATATGCCATTTAAGGTGCGTGATTGACCATTGAAACTATGTGATTACTATTTTACAAGACGCAATAGACCTATGACCAGCATAAACACGTTTCCAAAAAAGTCCGGATACTTGACCGTCACGCAGTCAATGAAGCGATCGACCTGGGGACCAAATATGTCTCGTGGCGTGGTCGAATTTTCGACATCCCGTGGAGGGCACCGCTACTTCTACGGGATGGGTATATCTAAATTAGAGTAATAATCTTTGCATGTCTACAATAATGGGAATTTCCCCGGTCCATCTTGCCGTCCCCGGTGGTATCGCGTTCGGTCTCGTCTCGACCATCCGAATGATCGCTCGGTTGTCAAGCAGCTCACAGAATGGGAGTCTTAGTTCTCGGGGTTTCGCTCACGCTAATCAAAATACACGACATCTGGAGCCAGTTCAGGATCAGATCTCGGCCGCTTAGCAATCAAAGTCGATATCTATTCTCTGTGGCTCCATTGCTCTCCTACTCCTTTGGAGGGGGGGGGGCATCCTGCTCATAGAGCGAGTGAGGCATCGGCATACCGATCCCGAGCTTGGCAAGCGGAGCGATTTGTCACAGCCTGTCGCTGCAAATGATGGTAAGCGACAAGACGTTTCCCACGGAGGGCTGCTCCAACAGCGGGGGCAAGTTCCGGTTCCCGCAGCTCCGGCTCCTCCAATTTTGTACGTACAACGAGCTCAGCATTGAAGGTATCCCGCGCAAGCCTTCGGAGGAAATTCCTGCCAAGAGCATTATTCGGGCTCGGATCGTGAGACACTCCAAATTCGCACTCTCCATGGTACCTCTCGGGATCGCTGCATGGTCCGAGCGAGTTTCCGGGATGAGAAGTCTGCGCCGGCCTTCACTCGAGCAACCGATTTCCAAGCAGAGAACCTCCCAGAGGAAGTTTCGCGCGCCGATACAGGGATCGGAGCACATTCTCTTTTCCTTCTTGCCTCGAGCGGCGAGCAGTCGCCGATCGAAGAAAAAAAATCTCTCAGCCGAAAGTATACAACGCGTCGAAGGTCTCCACCCCCTTGTGCGTATCAGAGTGAGTTTGACGACCCCGGTCAAATTAGCTCGCGCTGCGAACGGAGGATTCCTCACTCCAAGAAGCTCTTCGAAGAATTTGAAAACAACTCCATGGGGGGGTTGAATCTCTTTTCGTGCTGGCCGAAAAGAATGGAGAGCTACTCTCCCGCCACCCGGATCAAGGGTCAGATGGCAGGAACCGGCGGTCCGGCCTAGGGAGTCCCGGAATAGGTGTCCCCCAGTCTGTCCAGAGAGTGCGGCTCCTCCAAACTTCTTCCCTCGCTTGACTCCGAGTCGGCGTTTTTCCAAAAGACACCGACACGGCCAGAGTTCTCTCCGAGGAACGAATCGAGAGGGATGTCTTGGCATCGCAGTCAAATAAATATTAGTTTCAAACTCATGAATTGCCATCGACAGAGACTACGATCCTCATGATTCTTCGATATCAGCACTCCGGACGACACGGCGTGGAAAACGGGCGAGTATGAAGTCGTGACCTATGCCGGGTCTCACGGAGCATCTCTGACACGCGAGAGAAACGTCAGAGCATTCCTGCTCCCTCTCAGTTAGTAGAAACTCCGAGAGTTGTCCTCGAGCAAGACGGTTCCTTTGGGTCCTACGGCTACGCAAATAAAGAGCTATGTCGTCGTCTCCGTTGACGAGCTCAGTCGGAAAACGGAAAGCCTCCTTATATGATTATATTTCAAAGAGAAGACGAACTCGGCCTCCTCTGTCATCAGAAATAAGCGCGAACAAGGCCTCGAGTTCCGCGGCTCCCGAAAAGAAATGCGTTTGAAACACTCGCGAGAGGAATCCTCTATGAAGGAGGGAGGCTCAAGACGGGACGAACTTAATGGCGAAGTCACTTACTTACACTGAAAATGGCGAGAAAGTACGGTGCCTACCCGTCAGCTGACCTCAATGACTTCAAAAGAGCCCAGCATGCTCCCTCGAGATAAGCCCGAGGCATCCGCGAGACTTCTCCCTCGCCTCCAAAGCATCCGATCAGCGAACTCACGAGACAGCACGGATCGCAACATCCAACGCTTCTTTTAAAAGCGGAATTCATACCATCGCAGTGATTTTGTGTCACTCGAATTCCGTCTCGTCGTCGAAACGCACTAGCGAACAGGCAGGCCGCGAACCGCCTAAACAAACACGTTCGCGAGACCGCTCATCGTCTCCTGGACATGCGGGAATCGCATTCGAACAATCAGCTGATTTCGTCTGGCGGGGGTCGCGCTCTATCTCTGAATCTCTCTGGACTCAAGGAATTCAACCGGAAAGGCGGAACGGGTGATGGGAAGTTGATTGGTTCGGAAATTTAGTCCACTCACCTGGCTCATCATGCTGAGCGGCTGAGAATCCGAGGATTGCCGCTAGTAGTGGAACAGCGGCCTTCAGAAATGCGATCTTCATCCCGACCTCGACGCCGACTTTTTTCGAGATACACCGCGTCACATCTGCAACAAAACTCACTTAGCAGCGTACCGGCTCACGTCTGTCCACTGCGTTCAAACACTTTCGATCCAATTGCTCGATTTCACCGGCTGGCGGACGGAAAAAACGAGCGAACTGACTGATTTGCCGGCTCGTCGGCCACTTGGGAGAGGAGTCATGGATCTACCGTCGGGGAGGGTTTTTCCGTCTATATCTGGCCGAGGACTCGCCGCTTGACAGGGAACACGTGCGTTGCCGAAGCGTGGAGTCACCGCAATAGCTCGGGGGAAACGCGAGTTTCGTCAGTCCGAATCTGACGAATTCGTGAGGTCGAGCCGTCGCCGACCCGAATTCGGATCCTTGGACTTTCACTGGATGTCCCCTGCCAGAGGGACGGGGAGAATCGAATGCGCGGGGGAGAAACAATTTCCCTTCCTTCCGAAGACGATGATTGCACTGCCGCGAAAATATTTCAAATTGCGACTGGTCGCTTTTGAGCGTCTTCAGACGAAAAGACAAATTCGATGATGGGATACGCGATACGTAGTGGCCGCCTTGTTAAGGAGGCTAGCATTGAATCATGTTCCATCCGTCCCGCGGATTGAGCCCCGATGCAAGAGACTCGGAGCTCGATCGGCTTATTTGCGAGAATTGGGCCTCGGCTCGGAGGAGCCAGTCAAATCTGACGAAATCCGATAGAATGGCCATACAAAAGAAATTCGTGTAAGCGGGAACCGGGGGTGAGCCAATGTGATTCTCGAAGTCTCATCACGATCTAAATGGCGATTTTCCGATGTCCACGTTATTCCATTTGTGAACAACACGCGTCATCGTGTACGACTCTGTTGACCACTGACTCATCGTCTTTGAAGAGCTCACTTCTTTCATGAGGACCCACTCGAAATTTAAGGACTCCATTGCGTTTCAAGCGCATTCGCAGCTCTCGAAGAGAGCCTCGCATCGTTTCCATGTCGCGCGTTGTTCAACGTCATGCGGGCGCCACTGAAAAACGCCCCGGTCTTGATTTTGAGCGGAGTAGGTCTCGCGGATCTCTGTTGCCCCTCGCCGATCAGTCTCAATCTCCAGCGTGCTAAGCTAGCCCTCTCCTTGCAAACCCGAGTCCTCGGACCTTTTCCACAGATCAACGGGAATTCGAGAGAGATCTGGAGCGATGAACGTCCGGGAGAGAGAAACTGAATGCTCCTTGACGATCGCTGAAGAACTATCCTCCCTCGATCGCGCACAACTCATTTTAATTGAATCGAGTCCGGCCGTAAGATGAAGACGGCGTACGATTTCGTCGACGGTTCCTCATTCTTGCGATAAAGGTTCGACCTCATTCCAGCAATATCCGTCGCGGGCTTTCCTCTATAGAGAAGTCCGATAGCGCGCCGAGAACGGCGCGAACCAAATCCACAGTTTTGATGCGGGGTTCCGGGAGAGAGTCGGAGCCTCTTCCCAAGAAGCGTTCGTCCCACTGAGGAGACTTACGAAGTCGGAGTCGGCGTTTGGAAGTTAGCGCCTCTCCACACTGGCGGATCGCAATGTATGCGGTGCGTGGATTCCTAGCTCTTTTATCTTTCCTAACATTTCGGGCCTCGTCTACTACGAGTCAAGGTTTCTTTTCCTTTCTCTTCCCAAAATCATCCGATTCTCCGGCGTCTCCCCTCCGATCGAGGGATGGTGTCAATACGAGGATAATGAAAAACTTCCCCCGACCGGAGCTCGGGACGGCGCTCCTCAATACAAACGCTTCCGTCATCCTCCCGACGACGGAGGCGCCATACCGAGCCAGCATAACTTGCCGCATCGGGAACTTCTACCGATTCCTCCAGCCCCGAGTACGATCAGTCGATGAAGGCTCCGAGTGTTTAGCCGAATCGCTTCGGATTGGAGCCATTCTCCATGAAATACATTCCGGGCATAGGACCAATGGAGAGCCGATGGCGTGGACGACGTCGAGACCGACGGAATGCGACGGGGATTATCCCGAGCAAAGTTGGCGTTCCGTTCAGAGAAATTGCGGCCGCACAAAAAGTTTTCTCCCTTCTTTCCGGCTCCCTTGTTCAAAGTTGAGAAAGCTGCTCCAAGACTGGGAGTAGCGCAACGGAGGGGGAGCCCGGAAGGAGAAGTAAGGTTGACTTCCTTCGCTGCACCTCCCTCGTCGCTCAGTGGGTCGGACGCCAACCGCCCGCTCGCGCAGCGGGTTTGAGATCTCCGAAATCCCGCTCACGAAGGAATTGGACGCTAGGCATAAAAACATAAGACAATACGCAGGCATGCCGCCACTGAGCCCGTCGGCCAATCCGCCCGTCTGATGTTGTTCCTCTGTTCTAAATTGGATTCCTCAGAGGGGTACGGAACGGAACAAGAGGGAAAAACGACTCGTTCAATGAATCGCCTAAGCGGAAACTTCCCCTGATCGCTGTGCTCCATGAGGTAACAGATTGCCTCAGTGCACGTTCGGTGATCATTCAAAACCTCAGATAAAAATAGACCCTCTTGTCTAGACCTTTGTCGTAATACGATCCCCGGCACCAGCGACGCGACACCTCGCGCACCGCTGCAGCGATACTGCATCGGAAAATCGAATTTTCACCATTTCGAGGGCTCCGAGGAGAGCGAGCGAGAGAAGCAGCGACGTGCCTCCGCAATGCGTTTCAAATAGCGACCGAGCTGGTGGGATCGTTCTCGACTGAAAATCCGTGTCCCGAACCCTCATGGGACCCCGCCGCCGACCGCCAGGCGAAACTTACTCGTGAGACCTACTTATGGGACCGCACTCCCGATTTCCCCTGATCGTAATAGTCCGCTAATCTGGCCACGCATCGTCATACGTATAAGTCAAGTCATGAGTATCCCGGTCGCGTACCGGGCTGAGAATTCTTTCCGGGACCGAAATGAGGAACTATCCTCCCACCACCCACTCAGCACCCATTCAGATGGGAGTCGGCGTTGTGGCAATGTCTCACAATGATGCCCTCACGTTCGGGAAAGAGCCGTCAGTGTTCGTAGAAGTTCGGCGTACCCCGGGGCGTCGTCTCCAAAGCCCGTAATTGCTGGGAGCTTGAAAGCGCGATTCGGGCGAGAATCTCGCCTCCCTAAATCGTGCACAGGTTTCTGTCGAAGACTCCGTATCTTCCCGGAACACCGTCATGGATCGAGCACCGACGGGCAGCTACCCCTCGGAGCCGGCGAGTTACGCAATCCGTTCTGCGTGCTGCGGAGCGACTCGCGATTTTGCTCAACTCCGCGCCTCTCCTCAAAGGCCCATGCATTCTGGCCTGCGATTGTATCCGGAAAGAGCTTCCGACCTCGCCTGCAAGAGGGCTGGGTCCATCGTGCTCATCTTCTCAGGTCCTGGTTTAGTGTCTAACGAGACCAGTCGTTCTCTCTCTTAACGTCAATTGAGACGAAAGACACTGGAAATCGGTCAGGCGGTCACCGATCGGCTGATCAGCTGGCGAAATTCGCAATCAGTTCTCCTTGGTCCAAAAAGGACATACATAGGACATGTATTGACACTATCCCTGGATATTCATCGTGATCGAGTCCAATCATCCGCGAATGGGCTTCCGGTTTCTATTCCCATCTCGCGACTACCTAGTCACCGGAGCTGTCAAAGAGTCAACGCTCCAAGCGTTCCGATCAGGCGGCGGACGCAAAATTTCACGGTTACGTCTCGAGCATATTCTGGCGCCGACTCCTGAGCGGTGGCTGGCCCGATCGCTCCGAGAGGCTGCCCGGCGTACGTGACCAGAGTCAGGCGAGCAGCGAAAGGAGCGGACGGCGGAAGCTTCTCCGACTGACACTTCTCAAATTCTGAATCGTGTTGCGACTGTTCGTGGACTTTCCTGCCGAGACTGAGAGAGAGAGAGAGAGAGTGCGAGAGAAAGAAAGAAAACGAGCCAGCCAGCCAGCAGACAGGGGTACCGATGATCCATCTCACCGAGGATATCCGCGGTAGAAACAGTGCGCGGAGCAGCTCGGTCGCTGCCTTGCCAAGTGGTCATCACATGGATTCCCGCGGGAATCGAGGCCAGAGATCCCGAACGTCACCGTTTGCGTCAGACCGCGAACCGAAACGGGGGCTACGCGCTCTCCGGGGCTCTCAGCTCCCTCCTCCTGCCCGATAGGGACTGAGATCGTCTCGTATTCTGTCGGGAACGATTTTGAGAGAACTCTTTAGCACGTTGCTGTATTTGTACGGGAGACGATTTCTTTCCAGACCGCGACATATTGACATTGAAGAGAGTTTCCGGTCGGCCAGCTCTAGTCGGAGCGCAGCGAAGGTTACCTCCTTGGAGACCCAAGTTGATGCATTACTCGCCGCCGAGGCGAGAGCACTCGCGAGAACTCTGGAGAGGATACAGTGCGCGGATCCGCAGTCAGTATCGTCGGATCGACACCTAGCGATACAATATACGTAGACGTACCCTAGATGAGAAGTTTAAAAGTCCACATGCTTAATTCGCCAACCACACGGTCACCCACTCCGTTACAGGACACACCACTGGCGCTCTCTACTACTCCTCCAGGATCGGGCAAGCCAAGAGCACCTTACAAGCACAAGATGAACGCATGCAACCTTTGTGAACGGCGCGCGAGTTCGAAATCCCGCCTGGGAGAACGCGAGAGCCGGGCTCTCTCCACTGATCGGATACGGGCTCAGGAACCCGTCGTGGACCAGGCTCATACTGCGGGCCAGAGTGAGTCGAAAAGCAAGTATGCGACAGTTCCAATCCATTCTCCGTTCAGTTTCCCGCGAACAGAAACGCGCGCTGAATCGGCTAGTGAACCCGGTATGTCTCTTGCTTCGCGCTCGGTTATAATTTGAGTTTTCTTCGAGTCAGAGGGTCTGCAGTTCGAGCTCGTCCCGTCAGGATCGTCGACGAGAGCGTTGGAAGCCAACAGAACGAAGTATGAAGTACGCGGAAGGGCTACTTCGGTCAGCAGCAGACGAATGCTTGTCAGACGTTGATGATGATGATGATCTCTGCTGAACGCGATGTATGATTCGAGGATTTTACGATATGTATTGTATTCCGCTCTATGTTAGGAAGTTCACGATTTGTGGAAGATGCTGGACATCGAGTCAGTCGAGGAGTCCCAGACTCTCCGACACCGGGAAGAGCATGCTGGAGAGAACCGTCGCATTTCGAACGAGAGGGAATCCGCAAGACCAAGGGTCTTACCCCCGGCAATGCAGGAGCGATGAGCGGACACTGGCGAACGCATTGCTATCGACAGAAAAGAGGAGGAGAATCGATGTCGTAAAGAATTCCCCCTGTATAAGAGTGCGCCAATGCCTACGTACAGAAAAATGGGCGATAAGGATTTACGCTCCTTCAATCAGTGCGAGAAACTGAATAGCAACGAAAGCGAAAATTCGGGGAAGAATCGATAATAGTGCCGCGACAGATCAGGTTGGGCACGTATTGGAAGCATCGTTCGACGAGCTCGATGAACATAATTTCTCCATCGTCTGCGGAGCGAGGTCGTCGCACATTCCCATGCCTTGAACGAAGCGAGCGACGAAAACGTTTGCGGCCCTCACGATAGATTTTCCGTGATTTGACTAGACGTAAGTGGCTCCCCGAATTTGAAAACTTGTTCGGGGAGCCTCTTTGTTCCAGATCAGGGTTCCAGAAAAAGGGGTCCTAATGGGGGGCTGCCGTTCTCGGGAGTCCCGAAGGTCGGTGATGTTGAAATGAACGACAGTGAAGATGGTGAATCTCAGTCCCCGTCTCAGTTCGACCCCACATCAATCGACACTTCACCCTCATTAATCAAAGAAGCATCTATCCTCGTCTATTCGTAACTCCGGATCCTCGTCTCATCCGGATCCTCGTCTCATCCGGACCCTCGTCTTCTAAGAACCCCGAGTACATCTAATCCCTCGTCCACATCTCCCGCTTCGTATACGCACTCCGAATCCGCTTCCTAGAATCATTAGCACCCCACATCTCAGAACTCGATAGATACGGTCAACCTCAAGCATAGGTACTCTCCTAAAACCCTTACTCCAGAAATACGTATATAAGAACTTGTAGACTAAGAATAAACTACGGTCCGCTATCCTGTATCCTACCATCAATCCCTGTGTATTTCATCAATTCTTCTCGTGCGGTCTGAACCTCTACTCTCGATCAGTGCCAGCTCCTGACTAGGGCACAAAAAGCTTGGAATCACAAATTCTGACAGGTGACAATAATAATAATTCATGTTATGGTCCTTCGGAGAAAAACATGCATTCGACATAGCTTGCGAGAATATCGACCAGCTTGAACGCGTCAGAATCGCTTACTGTGCTGACTGACTGAGTGAGAGTGCCCCTTCTATGGAAAACTGGAAAATATTCCTTGTCTGGCGAAGCCACCGACTAGTACTTCTCGAATGACATCAGTGATGGATCCCTAGCACAGTCGAGAACTTCGGAAGGGCGCCCCGCCCTGAAAAGGGAGCGGGAATCGCTGTTCGAGTCGATGGGTATGCACAACCTCAGTGCTGTGTTATCACCGATGGTCGCTGTGCCCGCGGCGCGGACTACCATCAGATTCGGGTGGCTTCAGAGGACATTCTCGAGATTGCCATTATCGCAAAGTTCCCTGGCGCGCTTTCCCAGCAGCCTCCTCCAAGGCGCTGTCACTTGCGCGGTTCCGGTGGAGTCCCGAGTGCAAGGGAACGCTTTTTATGGTGCGATCGGGTGATCTCAGCGACGCAAAAATGTCCTTCTTCTAGAACGCCGTGTGGACCTGAGGACTGCCGGCCGTAACGACGCAGTCTGAAGAATGTTCCCCATGACCTACAGCAGATGCGGCGGGATCGACTCACTGATCCCATTTGTGTTCCTTCCGTTTTTTTGTGCTCGCTGCACCGACTCCACTTCACAGACCAGTCCGATGCTCTTTCATTAAACTGGGCTTCTGGGCTGAGAAGCTGAGAAGTCGAATGATTACCGACCAAGTCGACAGGCGACGCCGGAAATGAGAGATGAGCAATTGCAATGAGCAAACAATGAGCTTCTGAGTTAATTCTGCAGGAATCGTTCTGAAAGGGAATTTCCCTTCATTATCCCCTCGTTTCCTCCTAAGAAGGGATTCCCTAACATGATTCCGATCATGAGCGGAGCGGAACGGCAGGAAGGTGAGACTCGGGTCGGATCTTGAGAAAGATGCTCAAGCGTCTTCCAGGGACGTGCTCAGGTCGCGGGAGAGGCTCATCGTGAAGTCAAAGGCAACACGATAAGTATCCTCGGAAGGAGGGCAACTCTTACCACCCGCGTGATCTCATGGCAAGACGATAAGTCGAGCTCACAATATTTGCAAGCTTCGTCCGGAATTTCGGTCCTGGAGTGCGCTCGCGCGAAATTCGAATCGCGCGCCAAAAGTTCTCCGCGTTCTCTCCACGAGGCTCTAGAGCTAGAGTCACTCTAGCATCTGTAAGGGACACCGTCTGCGACGAGTGTGGTGTCTCTCCGCTGTGGTTCAGTTCAATACTCGGCTACTCCCTCCTCCTCCTCTGGGCTAGCCTCCTGTCTCTTGACGAGACGCGAGTCGACGACGACGACGGCTACTAACTCGGGGCTCGCCATGAGGTTGGCGGCGGCAGCGGCGACCACGGCGGCGAGGAGCAGTCGCGGCGGCGGTAGTAGCAGAGCATTAACTTCGTCTTTTTCAACGTGCGCGCGCATCGCATCATTCTGCAGCGAACGGTACAGGAGTCTGTGTGTGGTGTGCCTACTACGGTAAGCATTTCAGAGAAAACGCGGCAAAATGTCCAAACTTATTCAATTGATCCCTGGAGATGAGCTCCACTTCCGCTCGAGAGCGTTTCCGGGAAGGATTCGAGAGCGTGAAGGCTGATTTTGATACCATAAGGTAGCTCCCGACTTCGCCCGTTGTCCGTGTGATGTTGGCTCAGACGTTGGCCTCATTTCTGCTTGGCGTGTAGCAACGCTTCAGCTCTTTGCTTACTGTCCGAAGACTCGTATTTGGTAGCCTTGAGATCCACTTTGGGATGGACTTCCAGCCTTCGTCGAATTCTCCTCTGATGGAGGTCCATTCAGATCCGGGAAACGTGTCGAACAGGGGGAAGGCAGGTCGGATTTCCCGTTGTGCCATAGAGGCACTGAGGGGTTGTTGAACTCGAGCGAAAGGTTCGCCAAGATGGAGGAGCAAGACAAATCCTGTTCGTTTTCCCATTCCGTTCCGAAAACTAAGCCCCCGGGTTCGAAAAGGGCCAAAATCGAAAACTGAATCCGCTCTGTTCGAACTTGCAGTTTTTTAAGCAATCAAGCTATCGAGTGAGCAATGGCTCGTACAAAGCAAACTGCCCGTAAGTCTACCGGAGGAAAAGCTCCCCGTAAGCAGCTTGCCACCAAGGCTGCCAGGAAATCGGCGCCTTCCACCGGAGGTGTCAAGAAGCCCCACAGATACAGGCCAGGTAAGACAGAAATCGTTTCATCAACAATTCAAAGTAGCTCGTCTCTGTTATCTTGCAATCGATACCGAATCCCACCAGCTCCTCTCGTCGGTATCGACATCGCTATGGTCATAGTTTCGATAGATGAACTCATTACACGGTGTCAACAGCGGTTCGGTTTCAACTGCGCATTGTTGATCCGCGGAAAGGGTTCCGCTAAGACGTGTTACCGCAACGTGCATTCTCGTGGGTGCTCTCTCTTATCTTTTGCGCCGAGGATGGGAAACTATCTGACGTATTGAAAATTTCAGGAACCGTCGCTCTTCGTGAGATCCGTCGTTACCAGAAATCCACTGAGCTCCTGATCCGCAAGCTCCCCTTCCAGCGTCTCGTCCGTGAGATCGCGCAGGATTTCAAAACCGATCTCCGTTTCCAGAGCGCTGCCATCGGTGCTCTGCAAGAAGCTTCCGAGGCCTACCTGGTCGGTCTCTTCGAAGACACAAACTTGTGCGCCATCCACGCCAAGCGTGTCACAATTATGCCCAAGGATATCCAACTCGCCCGTAGGATCCGTGGTGAACGCGCTTAAGTCTATCGTCTACTCTAAATACATCTCATAATAATATACGATTCCATCCGCTCCGGAGTGGGGGTGGATGACGAGCACGAAATCCCTCATACTCCATCAACCGCGCGAAAAACCAAAATAGAAAACGATTCGGCGAAAACCAGAATGCAACATGTGAACCGCGAATCATCAGAATTATTGCTTAAACATGAACCCAATCTTTGTAATCACAGAATCTTTGTAAGCTGGAGCATATGGCAAATCTTAACCCTTAGATTAGACTTACGATACTTAGACTTCGAGAGAAACCATTCGTAATGCTCAGGTCTAATCTTGTCGTATCTACTTATTCTGATATATTGACCATTATTCGTACTTCTTCCCCCCGAGCGGAGAGGGAGTCAATCACTCCTTCTCTGCAGAAATTCATAGGCGAAAAAATGAGAGCTTGCTGAGTTCATTCTCGCTGGCGGGGGCACCCGAAGATCTGGTACCCTTCTCATCACATTACAACATACAATTTTCTCATGAGCCGCCCTGTACACTATATCATTATTGCTACCGTCCGGCTTGCGGTGGTCTAACTGGTGAACGAAGAAATTCTTCAATGGAAAACCAACCAAAAATAGAAACCTCTACCGACAATATCGGTGACCCCACAGAAAACCCACGAGTACTAACGATAGGCTAGATATACAAACATATACATCAATATCCTGAGGATTTTACTAACCGATCAATGGATTCGAATAAATCAGATGACCTCTGCGGTCATTTCCAAAAGTGCGGCTTGTTTTCATAGAGTAGTACGATAGCATACGATGCCATAATAGATCAGTTACGTGACGATTCGAGAAAATCTTTTATTGAGCGGGTAATCCGGAAAGTATCGAATCGATCACAGATCTGGACTCGGAGCGGGGAAGGGGAGAGAGATGCTCATGTAAAATGGTGAATTGCTCAGATGAACCATGCATTGGAGATCTCACTCGATACCTCTAAATGTGCATGCGAGTCAAGTCCTTGACTCGACCTTGCTTTCTCATTCCAATAAGTATTCTGATCCGAAGACCCGACCTACCGCGAGAATTCATACGCAGTCACGATGACGGGGATCCCTCGTGGATTCCGCGGTCGAAGACTTCCTCGAAGCCCTTACGGTCGCATCGAGTTTTTCATCAGAAGCTCTGCACCTGATTCCCCCCTTGTTTCGATCGATAAGCACTCTCTATACGGTGAACGAGAATTATTTTATTTACACTTCGTCAGCTTCCATAGGCTCGGCCTCGGCAGCATCGCCACCGCTTTCTTCACCACCACCGCTGGCAGCCTGTCCTTTCTTCTTCTTCAGACCCTTCATCTTTCGCGTTTGTAGTCTGCCAAAGTCCTGCCTCTCCATGTGAACCCGTCCAAGCGATGTTCCGAGATCATCCTGCTCCAAGTTCTTCTTCTTCTTCACCTTGAGACCCTTGGGTTGCCGCAGTGCCTGGAAGATGGAATTATTTCAGAAGCAGCCACGGAAATTCACCCGTCCTCAAATATTATAATCCCACGAGGACTTCATCCATGACAAAGATGACGATCCCTCACCTGCTTGAAGAGGTCGTCGGAAGCTATTTTATGTCGTCTGAGTTTGAGGTCCATCCGAGGGCCGATTTCCTCAACTTCGGCGCGGGGCGTCTTTTGGCCGCTCCTTTTCAAGTGAATCTACAGAAGGAGATAGACGATGGTCGTATCAGGAGCGAACTCATCGTGCCCGATCCCAGTTCCGAAGATCCCAGGCGAGAGCTTCATCGAAATTCTAGGCCTTGACTCAAACGGGGTAGTAGTCGTAACCTACCTTATAACTGCGCAGGAGAATAGTTGACGAGCCCATGGCGGTGAACGAGATTGCATGCTCCAGGCCCGACACTCCCAAATATTCCCTGGGTTCTCCTCTGAAGAAGTCGATCAGGAAGTTCTTCAGCCGCTTCATTTCGTTAGTTTGCTGCCAGGCCTCCCCGGCGAATATGAGAACGGGTTTCACCATTATACCGATCTTGGCAACTTTGAATTCGTCGAGTGCTTTGTAATTCTCGACACCGAACTCAAATTGGTCAGAAACCATTCTATCGAAGGTTCGTCCTAGCACAATATTCTGCGGGCGTTTCTTGTTGTGACTACCGAAGGCGAACAGTGAAGTGTCTTTCTTGGCCATAAGCTTCTCGAGGTGGGAGACATCCTCGAATGGTCTGATGTCATTCTTCTTCTGGTAGAAGACAGATTCCGTCTTCTTGAGTGTGTAGAGATCCTTCAAAATTTGTGCAGTCCTCTGATTGATATTCGCGGCCTTCACAAAGGATGTCTTCTTCGGATTCTCGATGGTCAGGGGTTCGCGAGCTTTGACAATCCTGGAGCCCTTCCTCGTCTTGGGACGATCCACTCTCGCCACAGCGGTCATGACTGACCGTGTACGGCAATCACTGTCCAGACACACAACCAACTAACTATTTCGAGTCCAGTGAGTCCTCTAAGGCTATCGAATGGATCCTCCGAACGAACGCAGGTTCTCTTGTTTTGTTCCGCGATCCAACACGTGCTTCGAAAAACGGATACACCCTCCGCAACAGGGCCCTGTCTGGGCTCTCAGTGCGCCTCCGAAACGAGCCCTCCGGTCATAGACCGCGAACTCGAATTCGACTCGAGAGAAGATCTCTGAATGCCCAGAAGAGCTAGACCACAGAATGCCCCTGAGAGGAAGTTAGCTGGACGAGTTGACTCCATGAGTCGAGTCGGGAGCAGGTTGTCTACGTTTGAATAGACATAGACCCAGCTCGATAATGATAGTGATCTTTGCTTGTTGGAGGGATCCCCCCCTGTACGGAGGTCCCCAGAGGGTTCTCTGGAGACCTCCGTTCACGTGCATAGCCGCAACGACGCCGCTCGCGCGGGAGGCGGTGTGGGTTCGATCCCTGCTGCCGGAAGAATATGCAGGTACTCGGCCTTGATCCTCCTGGGTACATTTGCCCTATGGATCCGTCCTCGGAAGCAATGTGAATAACAGTACCCGGGACGTTAAACCTTGGCTGTGTGGAACAGCCCGAAAAAGTGTGGAGACCTCCGTTCGACCCTTAAATTCGCTACTCATTCGCGTTCTCGTCAGGTCGCGATTCGCGATGCCATCTTGAAGCCTCCCTCCGCACTCGGCCGCCGGCGGCCGCATCCACTGGGTAATCTGTTGCTGTAGCGCAGAGGACGGCTCGTCGAAATTGTACATACTACCTCATCTAGAGCTGCGAAGTGAAGGCACCACAAATTCGAGTAAAAGTCTGAGAAAACACCGAGGAAGGCTCTAAAAACAGGCGGGGAAGACCGGTGAACTACCCTCATAATGACCCCTATTCGCTCCGATTCTGGTTATCCTACACTAAGAGCTCAATCCAGTTGTGAGGGACTAATAACCGCCTCCCGCGGGGGAACTCTCGTTCGGGGAAGTCGCGTGAGCACGTTCTCGAACCTCATGATTCTTCCAAAAGCACGCGTATATCGACCAAGCCGTGTATTCGAATAAGCAGCTTAGAGCTCAAGGCTCGAAGTTCTCGGCATCTTCCTTGGAAATCCATGTTGATCAAGACCAAGAGGGCATTCTTGGCATATTGGAACTAAAATACGCGGAATCAGTCAAGGGGCGCGCGAGAACGTCGAATGTAGGCGAAAATGACGAAATGCTTGAACTCTCAGCTCAACATGGGCCATGTTGGTCATCCTCTCACGGTGAAAACTCAGCGCAGACGATCGTCGGGGCTTGGCTCTCGCTGATGTATTCATTTCTGGAGGTTCTCCGCAGACTCCGGGAAAAATGGTATAGGAAGCGAGCTCTCCATCGAGGACAACGTCAGATTGGTTTGGAGATGGAAGTCGGAATTCATCGAGAAAGCGGTCTCGGCGCGGTGCATACTGCCGATCGCGATCGTCATCGATTTTCGTTCGACTTTCCACTTCACGGAGATCGCAGACTCTCGGGTCGCCTAATCTGCATTGCCGGGTCGTGAACTCAGGGCGGAGTCCCCGAGTGGAAACTGACAACGCAACCTGAAGGGGAGGAATGTTTTGAGGTCCGTAGCGGTAGATAAGCAATGAGAGCGTCCTGGAACTCCCCACAATCACTGAGTAGTGGGCATGAGCAGGAGAGGTGAACGTGACGAGCTCCTCGGGATGTGAGTTTCACTCCGGTGATCATTAATTGCGATCCGAGAGGAGCCGAAGAGTCCGGGGCTTCATAGTGAAGAACGGATTGTCCTTGAATATTCCCATATTTTACCTCCAGGCTTTCTGCATTCGGGCTTTCCTTGACTGTGACTTCGTGGATTGAGGGAAAATCATGCATGTTGCGGTGGAAGGAGTGCTGGCTCCATGGCTTCTGCGAGATCGGAATTTCGAATCATTTTAGATCTCCATCGCCTTTTCGAGCCCCCGATGAGAGGTCGAATAATCCCACACCATGCAGCAGCAAGGCCAGTCTTTGTTGAAACGCTTGAAGTTTCGAGTTCCAGCAGAAGTAATGTTTGTATCTATTCTCAGGCACCGTACTCTAGGAGCCCCTGCTTGTGCTCCTTTCAGGGAATATTGATGGTCTGCCGAGCTTTTTGAATGAACTTCGACTCAGAAACTGAGGGAGCGGCGCCCGGATTCTTTCTAGCGCGGGACCCTCTCCGAAGTTCTCGTCAGTGCCGAGGACCCCTTGCGACGTCATTCCGAAAGTGCTTACTAGTCGTTGGCTCGGCCAGAGGGAGAATATTTCCCTGTGTTTCGTTGAATGAGCCCTCTCACTCAGCATAGCAAGAAATTCTGTCGCAGTATGGCTGGTCGAAGTTTTTGCGAGCTATATCGAATATATTTTCCCATGGGATCATAACATCTTATCAGACTCATCTCCACCGACTTTCGGGACCTCTGGGGGCGTGATCCGGAAGCCTCAATGGGCCACGGGTCCCGGGACCCTCTTCTGGGCACCCCTGAGCTAGGGGATCAATGGACGACGGAGACATCTGAGACACTGAGAGGACCTGTCGATTCACGACTGTCCTTTCTTTATTATCGTTTTGCACCTCTTCCTAAGCGTCTTATCCTTGTGTTCTGACGGAGGAATTACTTTCGCGCGCCGCTCTGATGACATTGAATAATCATTCCATTTGTTTACACAAGACTTACGTAACCGTCTCCTCTGAACAGGATTGTTTCCTCAAGCATCTCGTCGTATAGCGCGCTAAAAGAGAGCGATGGTTTTCGTTTCTTCGAAACTCATCTTCCCACAGTTCAACATGGTCCGAACCCGAATCTAGAAGTCTAATGACAAATACATATCGTCATGTAGATGTATATATATATATATTTACGGATCTTTATCAGGTTGTCGGATCTAGCCGTTTTTGTCACATAACAAATGCTAAGGTATATCCTTCCTAATAACGATCTATTCCACAAAGGCATCGAACAACAATATCATAGCGTCCGGCACATCATATGTATTCATGAACGAACGATAGAGGCCGCTGCCGGCCAACTAGCTCGATATCTATCTAACAGACTCTTCTCCTCGATTCTGTCACATTTTCTTTCGAAATACTTTGTACAACAAAAATTGGTCACAGAAAAAATACCTCAGTGGTGCACGCACGTCGAACAACAACTGATCTTTGAATGATTGCTCTGAAAGAGTGGCATCTCTCGCAAACTTCCATCGGGAACATTCCCGCTGAACTTCCAAGCATTTGTCGCTTATCTACACGGCGATTCGTCGCGGTCGCGATCTCTTCAATGTCCTAGAACATACCTAAAGGCAATCTTCTTCAAAGTCATCAAGACATCTCGTCCGGAAACTCTCCTCCCGGACATTCCGTATCCGTCGGAGTCTGATCGAGACCTGACGGTTGGATATTTCACGGCAAGCGATTCCAAAATAAGCTTGATCCTCATTTTCGTTCTCGAAAACTCTCGCTCGCTCCTCTAGATCTGAATCCGAAACCGTTCTCGTCAGGAGCAGGGATCGCTCTGCGATCTCAACAACATTTCCTACTTTTCGCACACAGCATCCGATGAGCGTCTCGATGACCTCAATAATGTATTTCCTGGCGTCATTGAAAATGTCTTTCTATAAGTAGTTATGTACATCGCTAAGCTGATTCCGTCTTGGAATTTCTCCTTCGTCGCACCCTAGAAACCGTCATTCGTCTACTGTAACATTATACAAACGACGAACAATTTTTTTTCGTGGCAGAACCTCAACTAGGTAAACCTACGCCAACGTCGTCCGGCATCAATGCTCCTATGAACCGAGGGAAGTCTCCGGCCGCTGGTGACGCGGAACAATAACTGCTAACTTCCGTGTTCCGAACATGTTTGGACTTGCTTCTGTTCTCACGCATTTTGTTGTACTTCAGAAGACTTGCACGCGCCGGCAGGCAACAAACTTATCGTGCTAACATGAGTAGAACGCCATTGAGAATAATACCGACCGTTCTGGCGAAGAATCGCGTCGAGAATGAAAGCTATTCCCAAAGTTCCTGGACAACGCTACACGCGAACACTGGCCATAATGAATTCGGACCGGGTCGTCTGATATGTGGGATTTCGCTGAGTGGTGGTTGTGGTGGGTAGCTCATCGAATCGTTCGGAGGGTGGCTCTCTTGAAAGATTCCTTCTTTTGCTCGCTTCGATGGCAGCGGAAAGCAAGTAAGCGAAGAATTCTGAGTCGGATTGGAAGAGAAATTTCCATAGATCAGGATTTCAATCCGTTGAAGCCGCATCCAATGACAGCCAGAGATTCATCTGTCGATCGCATCGAGGAAACGATTTCGAACAACAATGATGAACAACGACTCGCACCGACTTCACATGGATGAAGGGAGAATGGTCGAGTCCACGTGCTGCGATCATGACTCGATTATTTTCAGAAACTGACTTGGAACCACCGATTAATTCACGATCCGAGGTTTGATCGAGATTTTTTGGAACAGAAACTGCGAATAAGCCCAACAACGTGAGAACGACCACGGGGACCTGAGTGACCCTTAACCACACCTCACTGTCCTACACCCGGAGAGGGGGGGAATGAATGTGTGTGAATTACATCCGAATTTTCTCCTGCGTCTTCCAAATCCGTCTGTATCGATCGTACCCTATATCGTACCCTAGCGTGACGTCGATACATCGCGTGAAGGCATGCACGATGACTTGCTGCGTAGTTCGCCATTGTTTAACACTTGGGCGAGGCGTACGACTTCCAAACACTTCGGGACCTATATTGCAACGATACTTGTCCTTTCTGGAAGAAGATTCAGCTGCTATGGCTAGACAATTGATTCCCTCGATAACAATCTCCAGTCTCGAGAAATAACAAGATGAGCCCGCAACGAATATCTTGATAGCGCGATGTTGAGTTTGAAATCGAGCCGACTGACTCGTCCAATAGATGAATCACGGGAGTTTAAGCGGTGGTGGAAAACCGGCGTCAACGCATACCTCCTTTCGCCACTCTCTTCTACCGCGACTATCGGACCACGATGAATACCGTAAGAAAATATTCTGTTGTTGACTTTTGTACAAATGTCGTAGACAAACCCGATCAACAAGTAGTTATGGTAGTCCGAGAATTTTTGGGAACAACTAATGCATTTACATAATGTGGGTCTCTTTTCACTCAACTAGGTTTTCCTGGTGTCCCCCCTGGGAAACCATCCCTGCCTGTTGAGCTTGCAGCTGCTGTTGCTGTTGTTGTTGCTGCTGGTGTTGTTGCTGCTGTTGTTGGGGTGTTTGCTGCTGTTGGGTCGGATGAGGCGAGCTCGCCTTCTGCTTCTGGCGCACCTCGCGAATTTTGAGCTGCAGCGTCTGCTTATTAGGGAACACGTCTTTGTGCTTTTGTTGGAAGGCAGCCGTAGCAGGCGCCGTCGGGAACCAACCTGAATTTAGAGGAAGTCGGTCAGATCCTATCCCGAGATTCAATCATATTGGTAACATGCGGTTCGATGATTATCATATTCGGTCCAGAAAGGTTCTCCCATTCTTGGAAAGGTCTGACCCATTCAGATCCGAAACCTACCTTCGTCGTGGAATAGCTGCATAACAAGCTGACGCCTCTGTTCCAATACTCTCCGGAGGGGGAAAGAATTCTCAGGAGTCCTCGGAGTCATTGGGGTGACTCCCGGAGAATCACCACCGCTGGTATCGCACGCGTCGCCTACGGACCCGCTCGACGCGGCAGCTGCGGCCTCCTATCGAAAGAGATCGAGGATCAGTCATGGGTCGAGTACATGACTGTATGGATGAACGAAATTCGATGGGACAATCCCCGACCGGGAAAAAAGTTCAAGTTAAGCGAGGAATTCATATGGTACCTGGACACTGAACGAGGGCCCGAAAAAGGTATTCCCTTCCAGCTTCGGTGTTTGTGCCGCGCTGGAGCAACCGCTGGTGCTGGGTTCACTCCCTTGGTTAACACCGTTCGAGGAGGCGCCATTAATCACGACCGGAGCGCTTAGGGGAGCCGCGAGCTCGTGTTCTGCAGGGAAAGAATTCAAAATTACGCCTCCGTCCTCGGAGCTCCCTTGAAAGACGTTTGTCTCCCAGAGGGAAGTCTGGATATTCAATTCGAATGCTTTTATTATAACTTACTTTTGGGCATTTGGAAGGCAGAAGGACTACCGTCATTCCTCGTACCAGGGATGGGAGCCGAAATTTCGGGCGGCATGTGCGGATGGTGAAGTTTCTTCTGACCAGGCGCAAGTCCCAACTGCGCTGGAGTTGGAGCCAAAACGAACGGAGTGCTAACAATAACCGATGGCGGCTCCAAAAGACCAAGCGCAGATGCCCTGTTGACCGAAGGGGATAACGGCGTGTGCACCGAGAGGGCCTGCACCTTCTCTTCCATGAGGGAAACTTCGAAGGGTGGTGCCGATTGAGGAGGTTCGCGATACGTCAAAGGCGAATGAGGCAACGGACTGGAACTAGAAGGAGAGAGGGGATCAGTACTCGATTCCGTTTGAATTTTCTCCGACATTCCATCGCTGTTATGTCGCGAAACGAACTCCGGTAAATGGATATTCCGAACCGAAAGGGATAACGAAATTGATGAAGACGAGAAAAACAACTCACATTGAGGTCGAAGGTGAAGTGCCGTGCGGCAGGCCAAGGAGATTTCCACAACTGAGAGCTCCAGGCTGTTCTTCTTGATCGCTATTGTCGTCGCCATCTTCTCGTCTTCCCGAGCCACCCGGCGCGTTTTCGCTTTTCTTGCGCTCGCGACTGCACCATTTCCATTCGGGATGCTTCTTGAAGTGTTCCTCCTTGACCTTGAATGCCATGTCGTGATACTGTTGCTTCTCATGTGGCTTCAGGGCGTACCACCACTCTCCGAGGATTTTCGATACCGTCCGGTTGTCCTGGTTAGGATGACGCTGATGAACGAGCGCTCGGTGACGTTTGCTGAAGATCATGAACGCGTTCATCGGACGTCGGATGTGGCTGCCTGTCAAGGCGCCGCTGCTATCCCGCCCATCCTTGCTCGAAGTGCTCCCGCTCTTCTTCCGTGCGCCTCCGCTCACGCCACTAAGGACGACTCCGGGTACCCCAAGTTTGTCTTCAGCACTGGCGGGTCCATTATCGCTCACAAATACTTCATCCAGATCTTCCTGGTCGTTTTCGCTGCCACCTTCCTCCATCTGAGTATCGTAGGGTGTGGAATAATTCCTAGAGAAGTTCATGCCCGAACTACCCCCTCCGCTCGCTGCTCCTGAAATTGAGGGAAATTGAGAAACGCCGCTCCAGGGTGGGCGAAAGAGAAAAACGAAACGCGGGAATGTTCGCGAACTCGACCGAACTTCAGACATCTATGCCATGAATTCCGGCCCCGACTGCATGAGTAAAAATGAGTGCATAAACATGCATGATGGCATTTCTACGGACAACAGGCTCCCCAACGTGGCCGTGTCTCCCACGCTCGAGACCAGCATACGGAGACCTACGCCGTATCGAGTCACGTTGGATGGAACGTGGTTCGGCGTCAGGCGTTGGCAAAGAAACGAAAAAGACATTGTCGTTACGCAAAGGCCCAATAGCTAGCTGTGCCCCGTCGAGGAGGGCCACATACTTTGATTCTTTCTCGTTCGCATATGTTGTAAGACCAGCTTTGAATTCGAACTCGAGGAGTCCTCTAATCTCACTTTCGGGATATTGATGGAAAATCACATGTCTACTGGGACCGACGAGTTGTTCTGAGGCTTTTGACTTCGCTCGACTCTTTGAAACGAAATCGCCCGCTAGCGCTGTTCGTGCATGGATTTTCCTTATGAGAGAGACGCTAATCGAAGCGGGGCTCGATTCCGGTACCTACTGATGCAACTAACTCACCGAGGAACGGAACCAACGAAGTCCATGGGTAGACGGGTATGTGATTGTTATTTTCGTTGGGAGTTGTGGCTATCGATGGAACCAGTTGATAAGGACTTCCACCTGGAAAGAAACGAGGCTATGAGAAACGCGAAAATTCCAGCATGGAATCCAAACCACAACCCAGGTTCTCCGATCCCGAGCGGTGGAACGGGAGAATATCCGGGTACGATCAATAGGACTCAAGCAGCGTAAATGTTGTATAACCGTAAGCTAATGTCTTCTCTCTTATTATGCACGCTGGATTTTCGGGAAGGGATGATGTTTTCCCCAGTTTTGGGCGAGATTACAAAAACAATCATTTTCTGAGATCGTTCCACCGACTCGTGTTCCTCGAAGCGTCCATCCCTCCAAGCGGCGTGCAAGACCCTATTGATTATTCTCTCGAACGTTTCGAGGCAAGAACCGTAAATATCACCGGACGTGTTCAGAGGAACACATCGAGGAAATCCCAAGAGAAAACGGAATATGTATGTATAATGAGAGGAGAAGCCTAGATTCGAGAAAAAAGCCCGTGGAGTCGACGTTTCGTGTGCTCTAACCGGAACTTTTGTTTGAGTCAGCTGCCCTAAGATAAACCGGTACTGGCGCTGTTCTGGGGACACAGCGTTCTGGGACTACAGACCACGATCGGGTTACTGAGAAAATTCAACACACGGAACCAGACCTTAAAGGCTACGCATTCTGCGAACGCAGAATCGGACTCTTTCGGCCGAAAAGAGTGATGCATATTCTAATGCCGATGGAAGAGCTCTCCGATCATTCGTGGCCTTCTTGACATCAGGTCTTCCGCAGATTCTTGGCGATGTGTATTCGGAACGGCTTAAATGTTCCCGGAATGGATCTGATCACACAATTTCCTTCCGCAGGAAGGATGCGCCATCCGCGATCCTGTTACCCGTCGTAGCGACTACAGGGTGTGCTGATAACGTTGAACGACTCGAAAATGCAAAGAAGGACCGAGGAGCTCGCACAGCTGCGCGTTGAATGAGTCGGATGGAAGCCGAGTTTTAAGTGCGCTCCGTAAAGAGGACCACTCAGATGGACGGAACAATTTTTTCCGTCGGTCTCGATTCGAGGTACGCATAGAGTTATTACGGAGAACAAGTATTAGCGGCGGCAACATTGACTGACAACCGCGTTGGCTGAGCTCACGACGTAGACTCTGATGGAAGTACACCTGCACTGTGATACTCACTCGACGAGTGATGTTGTTGTCGCACTCCTTGGGCATCAAAGGCATAGTCCATCTGCTCTTCGGCGACACTTCCCCCACAACCATCGCTACCAAGCGAATGGTGTTCGCCACTTTTGCCTGGAACGTGAGAGAAACGTCAGCTTCCAGAACTTCATCGTCTGTCACGAGCTCATCGCCGAGGAGCGCGAGAACGCTGACCAGAGACTTTCGTAGACGGAAATCTGGTGGAAGTCCCTCCTTTGCCCCCCTTTCATCAAGGCTTTCTTCAGAGGCTCGCGATTACGAGGAGCGTCAGAATGGATTCTTGACAATTATGAATCTCTCTAATTGGCTCGATATACCCTCGCATTTGGACTTGTATCAAGTACCAAGCGTGTTCTGCTAGCGTGCCATGATCTGCCGAATTCCTTCCTACGACATGTAACTTCAAGCAATTCCATGCAGTTGCTCAGGTCCAGGAATTGGATTCGATCGTACGTCAGTGAGAAACCTGAATACGACTTTCGCACGGAAGAACATTCTCGACTAAAATAATCATAGCAACGATAACATGGGTGTTGTTTTGCCGGTAGCCTACGCACGTGAGACGTCATGGACTAGGAGAGCAGAAGCGACCTTCTCGGGACGAGCTGAACACCGCTCCGGTAGGTGGAGGGCAATGCTCAGCACAAACCGCATCACCATACAGACGCGCGAGAGCTGAGCGCCGTTGGGCCAAGATTGGAGACATTCGTCCAAGTTCCCATGAAACGTGAGCGTGCTTTTCTCCTTCTCGTCTCGAGACTCGCTCATTTTTCTCCAGATCGGATCCTCGCTCAGCCTAAGCGCAGCCTGCCGGCTCTGATGACGGTCCGGACGGAGTCTAATGCCAATGTACTCCACACGGAAAGTTCAACTGACGTCATACGCGTACTAGAATGACATCCCGTCATTTCGAAGGAGAAATTTGCTTTTGTTATCGCCCTCGCCGAGATTGGTGCTGTCTTCGCCGACGATGACGTCGACGGAGTCGGTCCATCGAGGTGCGAACCCTACTCAGCGAGCGGCCCACGCGCTCGAATGGAGTCGAGACCTCCGAGCCCACTAGCTGTTTAACCATTTGTCTAACGACTTCGGCGGCAGAGTTTCTCAACGAGACCGATCGGTTAGCAAATCGAACACAAAGCCTGCTGTCGGACGATTCTACCCGGCCTGATGATGACACGAAAGTGTCCGTCCGCGGCGGACGGTGCGAGCCTGCTGCTGGTTTCACCAAAACAAGCTCTAAACTCAAGGTTGCAACCAACGTAGCAACGAGCTCCGAACAAGTGTCTCTTCGCGTTGGCCGGCTCGTCGACTGATAAATTGTACGGCAACTGCTCCGAGGACGACTATCGAATTCCAGAGCGTCAATCACTCCACATCAGAGTTGCGGCTGCCGGTCTCGGGCCGGAGTGCATTCCACAGCATGCAAATACATCTGAGAGGGCCAAGGGCATCCCAGAGAAAAAAGAAATGATATCTCTCGGGAGAGCCGCCCTCCCGGCGGAGAAGAGATCCGGATCGGAGCGAATCACAACATGGACCCCATCGATGGACTGGTGCCCACCTCGAAGCAGCCCTCCCGCCGAATTGATACGTCGACCGATCGACGGCCTCGATTAGGTTCTCACCTTTAAGCGAGAGATGTCTCGAACAGTAACCTCTCCGTTGAGATTCTTTAGTGCAGCCGTCTCGACTGCACAATCGTCTCCATTGCTTTCCATTGAACTTTTTTCGGATGCCGTTCGGAGCATGAACAATATCACCCTTCTTGAACTTGTGCTCCTGGAAAGAGATTCAAATGTATCAGATAATCTGGAATGATCCGGAATCATGGATAATCACGTTCTACACACATGTACGCTCGCTCGATCGACCGATGCGGAATCCCGCGAGTCATCGTGCTCGTTAAGCGCTACTATGGCGATTGCCGCAGGAAGCGCCAATTGGAAGTCGTAATTGAATTTTGAAAGACTCTTTCGAACAGCATCAACAACGGAACATTCAAGTCGGTGATCCATACCCGCCGTTTCGAGACAACCTTGACTTTCCGCATGCTGCCGCTGACCAAGGTGACGCGCGTAATCTTCTACTACGAAGACGACGACGACGATCACCACTATTACCTACTATACTACGTGGCGTCCTTAATGACTTTTCCCGCTCCGCAACGGCGATTCAATCTACAACATTCTGCAAACATTTATCGTTTTCGGAAGCAGTATGTTCTCTTTTTGAAGCGCCTCATCGGTCTGCCTCCCACCCTCAACCGTGCCCGTACCGCAGGATGTGGTTCCTTCGGCCGGCTCAGAATACGCTGAAGGTGTTATTTTTCTCCCGGAGCATATCTTCGTGACTTCCACGGACATCTAGGATTTTTACTGTCGACTGAAGAAGACTGTACTGGTCTAGACCGATGCGAGAGAATTTTTCCGTGTAGGCCGATCGATGCAAAATTCAGAAAATTGTACGAGCTACAGTAAGAATCTCGTTCTCAGTCACGCGAAACATCGGACGCTGGAGTGCGACCGGAACGAGCGGCTACCTATCCCTCGCAACTGTTCACCGCGACTACGTCTGCTGAAATTTTAAAAGAACTACCTCGCAAAACCGCTCCTTCGTGGAGCACAGCTCTCCCGGAAAAAATCGAAGCGGCCGGCGCGTCGACGAAACTCGAAATCGTTTGTGCGAAGGCACAACGAGAGGTTCCCACGCACGACAGCTGAATTCTCCTCGACTAACCGATATTGCATTATAGAAATTCGCTAGAATCGGGGAATGAGCGGCGAGCGCGTTACAATCATCGCTACGAAAACATTTGAATGGACGAATTAGCGCGCTTAGCATTGATGGCTATCCGTATTTTCGGGTGGTCAACGGCAGCCCTTGACGATTCTGCAATCGGAAGTCGTCGAGTGTCGTGAGGAGGCGTCACGCCAATCTAGATAGCCAGTCGGTCGTGTGTGGCTGGCAGTCCAGAGATTCAGTCTTTCATTCAGGCAAGAAGGCGGGCGGGCGTGCAGGCGAGCAGTCACTTAGTTGCGCGGGCACCAGTCAATGGCAAAATACACTGCTGCAGTGTGTTATTAGAAGCGTAACAGAAAATTCTCCATTGAGAAAAGACGTGGCGCGAGTAGTTGTGCGTTCCGTAGGCGCCGTAAGCAGCAGCCGTAGCGAAGCGGCATGACTCGTTGACTGACTGACTGATTGACTGTCTAGCGAGGTGGCGGGCGGACGAACCATTATCGTTACTGCAGTTCAAGGTCTCTGTCGTGTCGATATTGCTCGCAAAAGTTCTTGTTGGAATGCCGCCGAACGCACCGTTGCTATTTGAAATACCTAACCAGATAAACTTCAGAAACACCACTTAGCTAGCTTAGGAATTCTATTTATCTGGCTCAATCACTCGCTCGTCCGCTTGCTTGCCTTTCTGTCAGTCAGTGCTCTGCTATTCACTGTCGACTAGGTTCGCGTTCTAGTCGAGAAGAAGGTTAGAAAACCCACTGACGACGAAACGCTTTATTACCGAACACATCGAGCGTAAAGCAATCTGTCTGAGCGATTCTGTGGCATTCGACTCGGAGCATGACAAATGGAAATTTGCGCCGCTAATTTCCCGTTCAGTGCGGGAAAATGTACGGGGAAAATTCCGGCAGATCGCCCAGCTCTCAGGAACCACCCTCGATGGATCGAAGACTGAGACGACGTGTGGATCGTCGGAGACAGCGAATCGAAAAGGAAGCTCCTCCGACGGGGACTCTGATCTGAGCCCCGGGGACAAGGAAGAGTCGCAAGATATAAAATACTCACTTCTGGCTGCGAAGAGGGCAGAAGATTCTGCGCGGCCATAGAGAATGCGGGCTGAATGATGGACTGCGGGCTGCCCACAGCCGGCAGTTTGTAGAGATTGTTGTTGTTAGTCGTGTTGTTGTTGTTGTTATTGTTGTTGAGGTTGTTCCCACTGAGGCTGTTGAGCGTACTCATCAACGGAGGGGGACTCGTCAGCGATGACGACATTGAGGACGTTGCTGCAGGTTTGCTGAGATCCACTGCGACCATATCGTCATCGTATGTCGGTCCTCCCGAATTTACAAGCGGAGATCCACCGTTGCTGCTGCTTCCCGCTCCATGGGGTGGCGTAGGTGAGGAACAACTCTGTCCACCCAGAGAGCTCATCGCAGCCGCTGCAGCACTCGCCTGAAACCACTGCGTATCAGTGGAATACGCTCAGTTACAAGAGAAGGAAGATAAAGACTTAAGGATCCCATAGGCCGATCCTTCACAGCCTGCGGGGAAATGCCCATGAACGAATTCGGAGCTTCGACTTTCCCCGATCCGGGATCAGAACGAATGTCTCGGAAGACTTTCACGGGGCTTACATCGACAATAATTTTTCCTCTCGAGCTGCTCCGTACGAGGGAGCAGCCCCTGCAATGAGTTTGCGCTAAAAGCTGCAGTCGAAGCCTGAGCTAATGAGGGACACCGAGCCCGAACGACCACGAATCTATCAAGTTGGTCTTGCTGTCGGTGAGGGAGTAGTTGGGTAGTAGTAATGAGCCCTTGATGCGCCGCCGCCGCCACCGTCTGGTCGATGCTACAGTTCACGGCAGCCGAACGGAGTAAGCGGCCGTCGACCAGCGGATGCGGGCAAGAGGCAAGAAATTAAGGCGAACGAGTTCACAAACTACCAACGGAGAGACCGAACGAGCGAACCAAGCCGCCAGCCCAAGGAGACGCATCTCATTCATCTTGCCAGCTCTCCGTAAAATACTAGCGCCCGCTACTCGCATCGGTAGATCGTGGTAGACGTAGCAGACATGCTGCTGGTAAGGCTGGTCTTCGTTAGCACGGTGTAGACTCAAGAACGTCATCAGTTCCTACGGCAGCAGAGGCGGCGGCAGCAGCAGCAGCGGCAACCCTTCACCCATCCTCACTCAGACAGGGCCGCTCTCGACGTCGGCAGCGACGGCGGCGAAACTCTCACAGACATAGTGAGTGACCAGCTCTACTTATCAAGGCCAGAGAGCAAGGAGTCCTTGAATCGAATTAGCTGCGAATCGAGAATGAAGCTTGCCGGCACGCAGCTGTGACGTGCCGATGCACTGTCGACGACGGCACGATTCCGGTCACGATTTTGGAAACGTTCTCCTACATTCGAAGATCACGCACACCGCTACCCGAATCCCTGTTGTTGCTCTTGACGATCACTCACCGGCTGCATCGAGGGCTGGAGAAGCGCGATTTTTGGCGATCGAACATTTGAAATGTCATCGTCCAGAAAGCCTGCTGGACTATGAGAATTTGAATGCGGGGTCGAGCTTCCGGTAGGAGTCTGCGTTTGACCGCCACATCCACCCGACAGACCCTGGGGCGTTGAAGGGGTGCGCGGTGTGTGCTGATCCGGCGTTTTCGGGGTAGGGCTTATGATCACGCTGACGGGAGTCGAGGCTGCACTGTCTTCCCACCAAGGGGGCTGACGAAGTCGAATTACGGCCCGCGAAACCCACACAATGCTTCCTCCCTCCTCGGTCGTTGTGACGCTCCTGGAATCACAGAAAAAAAGAAAAACGAAACTTAGCCACAGTCTGTGATATCTGTTTGAACTCGATATATTTTTTTCGATCCTTCCTAGAAATTATCATGACAAATTTCCCTCGAGACATATTCCACCGAGTTCGATGAAGAATCATCACGAAAGGACCAGGAAATTGTGGAATGTTGACCTTACCCTGGCTGGATCCCGGTGTACATCTGAACGAGTTCCGAGGGCACCTTCACGGCGTACTGCGTTGGCTTCGAGCGCACAGCCTGGAGGATTCCTTCGACGTAAAATGCTTGCTCGGTCGACAGTCTAACACAAACTGGAGTTCCGATCACGGATAAATGAATTGGTGAAGGACTATGGTCGGAAATGATAGGACACGCTGTCGTTGAGAACACGTTGAGGACCACCATATCACGTCGGTCTTCGCTATCCAACTGAAATCGGAGTAAACTCTGCTTGAATACAGGTGCGCGTACGGCGCGTACTTACTTACTCGTTCGTGGTTTTATGCAACGCTAGAGTGGGTTTGTGAATGTCACGTGAATGAAGCACATGAACAATCTAGCTGTAGCAATTTCACCCAGTAATCCGCAAACAACAGAGTATGCACGGAGCGTGTCTTCGCGATCGGCTTATAAGACTTCACTCCATTCGGTCCGAGTACTGAGGCCAGTTACCGACCCTAGATAGTTTCCCGATGAGGCTCCCCGTCGTCCTGAGCGTACGCGACTCGTAATCGTAATTCGTACCGTCGACGTGTTTCCATTGTCCGCTCGAGGGGTTCTTACGCGCGAAAATCATCGGATGCATGTATGGGTATAAGAGAATTCGGAGCTCCCTCCGCGGACATTCGATGGACTCATCGACATCCGTTGAGAGCTACGAAAAACCCCGGATGCCCAACCTCGAACCAGAGCATCACCGTCTAGAATCGGTAGCGGTCGGAAACGTCCGGTTCTCTGTTACGTCGATCGGGGAGGAAAACCGGCCGAGCGGCCAGATACTCAAGTCGCTCATAAATAGTTTACGCGACTCGGAGAAACAACATTTCGTATGAGCCGAGGTCAGAAGACGCTCTCGTATGTAGATCGACCGGCTCAGCGTCCGTTCCTCCGGCCGAACCGACGAGCCGCCGCACTGACTTCCCTCCATGAGCCACCCACGATCGGAATTACGAACTAAAAAATCGTAACGACTCATAGGAATCGATATCGTACAGCCAGGGTAGAGCATCCAGCGAGAATCTCGTCGCTTCTGTGACAAGTACGTAAGCCAGCCGACGACAGGTGACATCGGCGGATCGTGTACATCGTCTGCTCGCGGCACTCTACATGCACACTACTTATATGTGCATGCATAGACTGCTATCGAAGGTTCACCGAGAGCGAGCAGACAGAGAAACCAGAATATCTGAGCTTGCGACGGAGCGATACATCAATGCACGGCACATGAGTCTCGCTCAACGGCGGGATCCTCCATGGGGAACAAGATAGATGATGATACGTGGATACATTCGAGTTTTCCAGCAGCCAGAAGCGTCTGCAGGTCCGACATTCGGACCGGCTTGCGGCCCGAGGTCTAGTCACGCAGTCCCGCCGACCAGCTGATAGATGCGGCAGCCGCTGCCATGGCAGCTCGACCGGGCGGCCTTGGGCTTTCCATAAATTTCTAGTATAAACTCGACGATTTATCTATCAATGAGTAGCGCCACTCGAGCTGGCCAACCAGCCAGCCCGCCCGCGCATACTTCTTAGAACATACCTGTACAATGAGATCGGAAGGCGTATTCGTGACGTTCTTAATCGTGGCTGGGAAATATCGTAGGGTATCGTCTTTCTTCACGAGCACTCGATGACCTCGCCAATCAGCTAAATTCACTTCGGTTGTTTCGGTGACCTCATCGACTCCCATCATCTCGAGACCCGGATCACCGAGTCCGCTCACGACGTTCAGGCTTCCGACATCGTCCCCCCCTTTCGGCGATGGAAATTTTCGCTTTTTCGGAAGCATGCAGACCTGTGAAAAGATATTCATCTGAATTGCATGTGGAATTTTCCCGCGTTCCGAAAGCTCCTGCGGGCGCAATTCCTCCAGGCTTCTCCCTCCTTCTTCTCAGCATTCTCCAATACGACGAAAGAGGACACACAAACAAGAGCGGCACACCATCCGTAAACAAGACAAGGTAGAGGAGGATGACTTTATAGGAAAAGGGATAACGTTTCATTGAATTGATGGTGGTGCCGATTGGGGAAAATTTCATTCACTGGGGAGAACTCTCGCGCTTGGATCACTGAGGCATCCGCAGAATCCGGAACGGGAGCCAGGGATGCGACCTACTCAAAGCGACGCTTCTTCCGAGACGTTCACACTGTCGTCACTAGCTGCTGCTATCTCTCGAGAGAGTACTAGCCGAAGGAGTACTAAAATGTTCACGAGAAGAATCAGTACGGATCAAAGAGCCCGACACCGCTGAGGGCACAGTTCAACTGCAATATTGGGATCCGCGAGCTGACTGACAGAGATTATCTTCAAAGCACCAAAACTCTACGGTTATAAACCGAGAGAATCGCATTTCGACCACGACTATGACGACGGTGCGGCGGCGTCGATGATTTTCAGCGCATGACAAATCATCGAGCATCAAGCCGTATTGTCGCTCTCGGAAGAATCCCCATTAGGGTCCGTTGATCTTAAGTCATTTTCATCTGCTCGGATCCGTAACCCCGAGTGTATCGCGTCCGGAGTTCAATCTTTGGGGATGGTGCTCGTTAGAGCTCCGAGAGTACCGACTGGAGCGGTTTGTTTTCATCAGGAATTAAACTCGACAGATACTCACCGACTTCTCCTCCACTGATGCCGTCGGTGAAGAAGCGTACAGGGTCGGCGTCTGAACAACCTGATGGGGAGCCTGTGTCGTTAACTGAAATAAATATGGCGGTTAATTTCAGTCGCTGAGGAGCTTCGCGCTCCCGACGCTTTCTCGTCGGCCTTCATGCGGGGGACACAATCGGGGGAACTCGTTTTGCATCGTCTCGGCGGTACTTTGGCAGCCCTGCGTCGGAAACCCCCCGAGCTGCTCGATGGACACGAGGTTCCGACCCCCGGAACGCTCTAAGGGCTCTAGCTCCCAGTCAGCCATCGGGGCGGGGGTCTTCCCTTCAGGGGATCGGATTCCGCAAGTTCGAATGAAAACTTCAAACCTCAGCAGAGGTCGAGCGACGGAGCGCGCGACCGACACTCATAATCACTCAGCATACGAAACTCGACCTCCAACCAAACTATCATACTCATAGCTGCTCGCTCGGAAACGTCTTCGCCGCCCTTGCAGTTTCTCTCGACGCCTCGGTTCCGAAGGCAGCACTAAAACTCTTCTTACAATTATTGAGCAGCAGCATTTGGTGACTCACGCTTGAATTCGACGCACTTGTCTTCGGGTGTTACCGACGAGATGCGTCAGACATTCTGAGAATTCGAGGAGTCGAAGAGGGGTGGTGCGTAACGTCCGGTTTTCAACCGACTTCACTACTGAAAATTCGCTGAGTATCAGCGGCGGAATAACACGAGCCAGCGACGGAGCAATGCCACTCGACTTTCAAGAGCGCGCCCGGTGGCATTTATCGCTTTGGGCATGACATAACCTGGCCTCTCGATAAGCTGCTAGTGTCACTCGTCCATTCGAGCTCGGACGCAATGCTCTCAGCGTCGAAGCACACCGTGAGCTCACACGAATGGACTCGAGGAAAAAACCGTCCCTCGAGATTTATGCTGGAGGAAGCCGTATCCCCGACATACGTCCATGTCATCGGAGGAAGAGAGCATCTATTGACGTAGTTCCGTGGGTCGGCAACAAGCTCTAAGGCTCTGCCGGAACTTCTGTTTTTCTTTTTTCGGTCAGCAATTATCATGATTCCCCTGCAGTGCTAATTTCTCCAAAAATATAATTCCGTGAGGTTTCGATTCGGACCCCACCGACAGGAACGCTCCGCGGAGCTGTACGGGCGGATCTATGGTCGAAAGGTCAAAAACCAGATACACGATACGATCCAAGAAGAAGAAAATGCAAGGCATCTTTAAGCTCTCGGGACGCTGATCGCAGCGATTTGTTTCGAATACATTTCAATCGGCACAAAGATCCGCGGCGATTGCAACAAAGGGAAAAGTTTCGAGGGATTAGGCTTCCGTGGATCGCGTCTGTCATGATTGTTGACAATCGTCAACCAGCCGGAGCACTCCGTAAAGAGTGAGCTAGTTCTTGCTAGCTTCTCAAACGCTGTAAACGCGAATTAAGTCGCTGATACAGATGGGTGTCAATGACGCCCTGAGTGAACAACGGACGTCGACACCGTCCCGACCGGCCATCCAATGTACGAGCGAAATTTTCCAAGCCGTCTCGAATTCCTCCGTTCTCAACGGTTGCATTTCTCTCGCAATCACCTCCGGATCGCCTGCGGCAACCGACCACTAATGTCCCGTTCGACTTATGGGAGAACGGCGGATCTACGAGCGTCACGTCGATCGAGAACAGTATGAACGGTGACTAGGTCGGTTCTTTCCTTGAGTGACTGAATGCGCGTGTGAGAGATCATGGAGCTTACGCTCGCTCGACGATTATTTTTTTGTTACGTCTGGCGCCGCCGCGGCTCACGTGAGCGAGCGGAATGAAGACATTGGCCAACGTTCGACGGAACTAACTCGATGATTCGGCGTCGATCATTCTACGAGGTCGAATTAGCAGGTCGCCGATCGTTCGACGAGACTTCGTCCGGAGAAGGAAGCACGTCGATGGATTCCTTATGATGTTCGGGGCCGCTACCGTAGCCTGCTGGAGGTTGCGTTATATCCAAAGGTTATCTGCGCTCTGCAGAGGAAACCGCACGCGCAGAGAAAGTTCCACGGTAGGAAGACGGCGATCGCTCCTTTCCGATACGATCCTGTTCTCGTTTTCGTTCGGGTGTTCGAGCCACTTCAAGGCGAATATATCAAGCGAGGGATCGACACACGAGCCGATACCATTGGGGTCGGCATGTCCAAGTCTCCGCCGACCAGATGCATAATTTATTGGATCAATTTATGGCATGCCCAGGCGGGAAAAAAATTACACAGATCCAATTGAATTGTCACCGTGTTTGGGACAACCATCAGTGGATAAGTCGTTCTACTGATAAGGACCGAGGAGCACGGAATGAATATCCTCGTATTGTGGAACTTTGTTCCGGAAGACATCTCGAGAGCTGTCTGTCCGCGGGTCTCGCTCCGCAGTGATACCGTAGGCTGATAATGATGTATTTATATCGCGGAGGCTCGAGAGCGATCAATCGCATCTGGCTCGATGAAGTACATGATTCTCGAAATCGTTCTATGCTCCGGAAGCTCGCTAGGCGTCCAAGATGACGGATAGACGACTCCAATCATGGACTTGAATGAATCGATAAATGAGTTCTCGCAGTTAAAAAAAACAGAGTCCTCCTGACTGATCACTGATTCTGATCGTGAGCTTGTGGACGCCGGACAACGATCTACACGTGGCCGCCGAGAGCACGAGCTTGAATCCGCAAGATCCGCGCGGAGATCGGGGCAATCTCCCAGCGCCTCGGAACATCTGATTCTGTGCATAGACATCAATAGATTGCAAACGAGGGCTGACGGATTGCTTTCGTGATGATTTTGATGATTGTCGGCGCCGGACGAGATCATCGTAATCTTCTGAAGCGCTGCGGAAAGCTGTCAACAGCAGTCTGGGTGCGCCGCTCCACATTTATTGGGCTCGGTCGCTCATAGGACGTACGTTCGCTCGCTAGGCCGCCGGACGAAGCGCAGGGTGGCGGATGGGACGGACAGTCGGTCGAAGTGACCGTCCGGTCGACGGACCGAATGGCCGGCTGGTTTGTTTTTGTTGCTTGCTTGATTGGTTTGTTAGTTTGTTTCTGGCTTGCTGCTCTAGGTGACTTCGATGAAGACGATGATGCCACCACCGCCGAAGCCGCAGAAACACCGTCAGAAGCGAGAGCCGACCGAGACGACGACGACGATGATGAAAACGACTGGTGGGCATTAGCGAATCAAAGTCAGTCGGTCGGTCGGTCGTCCTTTCGTTCGTTCGTTCGGTCGCTCGCCCGCTCGGTTGTTGCTCGTTTGCCGCTCTGCTAACGGCTATATGGCTAGTAGACTGTCTCGTTGCTTCTGCCACTGCTGCTTCTGCCACTGGTGGTGATGTCGTCGTCGTCGTCGTCGACATTCGAACAGAAGAAGGCGAAATAGAAGGAGAAGCAACCCGTGAAAGAAACCGGTTTTCGAAAGGCGTTCGCGTCTCCAACCAACACGAATCTAGACACCTGCTCCGAACTCTCCGAGATAGATGAGAGAAGAGAGATAGAGAAAGAAGAAGAAAAATAGGAGGCCGTTTTCTACAACGTCGTCGTGGTCGTCGTTGTCATGGTCGTGATTCTGAGATCAGCTTTTTCGCTGCTCGAGAGTTATGACGTTGGCATCTTCGGCGGCAATGGCTTCATCGTAGCCTTTACTCTCCATCTATTCATTTGATCATCGTCGATAAACTTCTCTTCTAGAATCGCCGCTACCGCCTGCCGCCGCCGTCGTTGAGGATCTATGGTCATTCATGCAGGATATGGGCATGAGGACTGCCGCGTTCGACCCATGCGGATCACCATCGGACTCCGCTGGCTGATGGGCAACATCGTCGCCCGACAGAATGATTCGGAATCTTCATTGAGCTGAATGAAGATGTAGAGTCTCTGTATGCCTCCGACTCGATTTTGAATATCACCAGAGAAAAACACGCCGCCCTCTCAGTCAGACAGAGTCCGACCCTAAGCCGGCCGCTGTCCTAACAGGCAGCGATCGACTCGCGCGCGCTTTCAGCCAACTTGGCGCCACCCATCAATCCGCAGCTTGGAAAGTGATGCGCTCGCTCGCGATCGACGTCCTTCTGACCGAGTCGATCATACTTCGTTCAGATTTTGAGGGAGCTCTGAGCTGCGTGACAGGAACCGACGGAGAGCGCTGGTAGAGGAGTCTCACGGATCCGCAACTCAATCGATGATTACCGTGGTAATGACATTGCCTGCTTCCGAGAGTCGCGACAGCGCGTAGAAGTGACTACGACATCCGACGTAGTAGATGTAGTTGATATTCGCTGCTCGCGTGTGAGAGCGGATCTCCAACCTCGAGCCGAAATCAAATGCCATGGTCCACTGCCAATTCACACCGCTACGCCGGTGCTACCGGCCGATAGACACGATGAAGTTTCCTCTCAACACGTTATCAGCATGAAAAGTTCGTTTGTGATTTCGGAGAAAACCCCATTCCGGCATTTCGACGCGTTCATAGTCTTCTTCTTCGACAGCTCGGCGCCGCTATCTCGTTTACTTTGGTCAGTCCGAGTCAAAATTATGGACAAACGGGTAAGCGGTATCGGTAAGCCTGCCTTCACGAAAACGGCGACGGAGACCATCACAACTAACACACGCCAATTGAAGACCGCCAGCGGCACCGGGAGCAGCGGTAGCGGCCACGGTAGAAAGGACTACTAGCTCGCAGAATGTCGTTCTGGATGGAAACGTGCCAGATTTTAACAGCTACCGCCATTGGCTGACCAGACCTGGCCAGGCCGAGCTGGACCTCTAACTATCTTATGAACGGCGCACGGCGCCTTCGATGAACAATTCGTGTGCCGTTGAAAGCATGGGCTCCAGCTGACTCACGCAGCCAGCGCAGGATGCCAGCGGTGACGGCGACGACGACCTCATCAATCGACTGGCACTTCATTCCGGTACTTAGGGCTAGGTCGTTCTCGTTTTTCGTGGGAAGAGAACGACCGGGTCCGAATGTCTCCCGACACCCCCGATGACGAGCGAACGGGCACGATACATTGTCGAGAGAGGTATTCCGAATGACACCTCGCTGATTACCGGCCGATTCGTGATCCTCCGATCCTACAGCCAATCCGAGGCTCCACTGACTCACAGATGTTTAGAAATTCGCTCAGGTGATCCTTCCCGATTTAGCCGGCGTGGTCCCGTCCCCGATCGCGCGCCGACGAGCGTAGATTAGAAATCGCGTACAGGAGTTTTCCGAGCGTCTCCGTCGACGCTTTCGAACGAATTTCCTGTTATTCACTCCAGCGATCGAATCCAGCCGCACAAATAAATCCGTCGGGGAATCCCTGCTTCTCGTCATCAACCATTCTTGTAGTTCGACTCAAAAACATCCATTCATGCTTCCTCCCGGTGGAAAATTTGTCCCCTCCGAACGATGCCGTATGATTGACCGATTTTTAATCATAGCCCGATTAATAATTCTGATATTACGATTTTGTTCATTGAAAGCCTTCGCTCGCCTTGATTTGTGTCATAATTGAAACTACAGGCAAATAGTTGTCCGCCTATAGCGGTCAAGAGAACGGGCCAATGAGCGAGTCGACGAGCGAGCGCATCAGCCAGAAAAAAACGACGAAGAGAAAGGCAGCCAATGATCCAGACGCTGTGCTGCCGTGTTGGATACCGAAATGAACAGCTAGCATACCAACCATCATCATCGCCGTCGACGTCGAAGAGCAGCTCATCGAAAAAAAAGAAAAAGCGTTGGAGAACCCACTGCCTGCAGCAGAAGCCCGCTTCGCCTGTCGCTGGTTACTGGCTTGGGACGTTGCTGGCTCGGCTAGAAAACCAACGGCCCATAGTAAGGCCACAAGAACTTCTTCCAAGAATGCGCCATCACTGCTTTCGTAGCGGAAATCAAGCGCGTACGCTCACGCACACTAGTTCGACGGTCTGTACACGATTCGTCTCAAAGTGCCCGCTCGCCTACATCTGTTTTTTTTCTTGAATGTGGATCACAATATCGCGAGAGGATGCCGACGCCCTAACGAGTCACCGAGCAGCTCGGAACCGATGGAGTTAGGCTTGAGCTCCATGAAGCTAAATAGACGATCTCCGAAAGCTCGTACCAAAAGGTGAAGATAGAGTAAAAGGTCGTTGTGTCGGGGAAAAATCACAGGGAGCGAGCGGTCAGCTGCTGTGTTGAATATTCCGTCGAGGAATTCGGTGACC